CTGACCCCCCGGCGCCGGGAGCCGGGGTTGGGCCATGCACCTCTAGGCCCCCCACGATCACAGCCTGCCGGGGGTCGAGGGGGTGCCGCCGACCAGAGCCAGCCAGGCCGGGGGCGGGGCAGCTCCCAAAGCCAGAGGGGAAGGGAGGCGAGCGCAGGGCCTGGAGCGGCCAGAGGGGAGCGGGCAGAGGGCTCGCACCGCCCGCCCCTTCCTCTTCCTCGCCCACCTACCCTCCTCCCTTCCCCGGGGGGAGCAGAAGGTGGGGGGCTCGAAGCCGCCGACGGGGAGCGCTCGGAGTCGAGGAGCCCGGTGCTGGGTGTGTGTCAGGTTCAGCCCCGCGGCCCCGCCGGCTCCGCGTCGCCGTAGCTCGCGCGGCCCTAGGGCGCCGGCCGGGCGGGGAGAGGGGCTCGGCGCCGCTGTGAGGGTCTCACGTTCCATCCGGGCCCGGCGCGGGGCGGCGCGGCATTCCTTCCGGGCTGCTGGGGAGGCGCCTCGACGTTCCATCTGGAGAGCCTCGACGTTCCGCCCGAGCCCGGCGCGGGCGGCCGGGGCGCTGGCCGGGCCCTGGGACTGAGAGGCCGCCCGGCGACGCGGATGCGGAGCCTGCTCGCCCAAGATCAAAGCCACCGGTGCTCTCTTTGTGTCCGCTCGGGATTCGCTGCCCTGGGGCTGTCCATGGAAACCTAAACTGCTGGAACCTGAAGCAGAGAACCCCTTTTGGCTTATTGCTTTTTTCGGGGGGGGGGGAGGGTGGCCACTCCGACCTGGATTTACCGTTCTTGGCCCCCGTAAGCCCCCCCCGTGCGGGGGGCGACTGTGATCGCTCTGGCGGTTGGAGGTCGGGGAGCGGCCCGGGCTCTGGCCATGTTCTCGGATGAAGATTTCTGGATCGTCCTGTGAAGAGGTGAGTGAAGTCCTCCCGGCCAGGGCCCAGAAAGGGTTGGACTGGGGGCACAGCCAGATGGACTATCTTGGCCGGTGGTGGCCTTTAGGTTGGAGAAGGGGGTGCCAGAACTGGGGAGGATTCCTTTGGCAGGGTCTGTCAAGGGAACTTGAGCCAGTCGCTAGGCAGAAGCAAGGCCTGGTGTCTTGGGGTGTGCCTCTTTAAAGGTTGGGGGTTCAGGGAATCACAGGAGTTTGGGAACCTGTCCAGATAGCCTCTCTGCCTGTTTATTTTTGTGTTGGGGGAGTTCAACTAAACTAGGACCCAGACCCTGATGCCAGCACCAATCCAGGCTGCTGCTTCTTCCCCCTCCCCCCAGGGTTTCTTGGGACAGAATAACTTGGTATGGGGGGGGCAGGGTGCCACTGCCAGATCGGACTTACTGCCAGGTTGGACTTTAAGGTTGTTCCTACCCAGCCAAGCACCCAAAGCAGTCTCTGGGAAACTCAAGTTGCGAGCCCTAAGTCCTTCTTCACTAGGCCTTCTTTCTCTGGGTAGAGGGGCGGGTGGATGGAAACTGACTTGTGTGATGAAGGGGGTGGCTGGGGCAAGAAGGAGGCGGGGCTGGGGGCAGCTCTGGCCTGGCTGTTCAACTTTAAACTAGCTCTGCCTGGCAAAGTGACCCCAGTGAGGCCTAGTGCTGTCTTAGCCTGCTTTGCCTCCCCTTCTCTCAGGATGGACATAATCTCCAGGGGATTATAGAGGAGGCCGTTGAGATTTGTTCCCTGCGAATGTGGGCTGCAAAAAATGGCTTTTGTCTCCTGCTTTCTCTGGGCCTGTTGTGGAGAACTATCTGCCCATGAGTCCTTGGCCAATCCTACAGGCCCCTCCCAGACCTTTCCTACCCTTTTCTGGCTAGGGAATGTTAACTGGTCCTCTGATGCTGTCCCAACCCTGCAGAATAGGGTGGCCTGTGCCTCTTCAGAGGAGAAATGACTTGAGATCTTTTTGCTGGAAGTCAGTGTTTCCAGCCTCGGCAGGAGGTGCTGGAGAGAAGGGGTGTGTATATACATGCAGGAAGGGTGCAGCATGGAGCCTCATGTCTCAGCCTCTGGGTTCTGGACTGGAACAGCCCCTCTCACACCTGTCATGCTGCCCAGCAGGGATTTGGCTAGTGCATTTTGCTCCTTCTCTCCACCCCCTCTAAAAAACATTTGCTAGGTCTCCTTGAGTCTAGTCTTCAGAAAGAGAAAGTGTGAGTTTTGCCCTTGAAAGATTTCTGGGAGGTGAGAGGTAGCAAAGGGTTGGTAATGAGGTGAGCTGTCAACTGTGCTCTCGACTCCTGCCTTCTTATGGAGGGTCCTCTTGTCCCCCAGATAACTTCCTTAGGTGGAATTGTACTTTGTTAGCTGTGGTTGCCCTGAGAATGACCCAGGGACAGTGTGGAGGGTCTGCAGGGCCAGTGTTGCCACTTTGATCCTTCATGGAGGGCTGACCCAAAATCGGGGTGGATAGAGGTGTGGTTTCTCAGGCTGGGAACCAGGAAGTCCTGAGTCCTGAAGAGCTGTTCACTCAAGGGCCTGCTCCAATCCAAGCCTCCATTTCCCCTTTGGCTGGGAAAATGGAGTGAAAGCTGTTGGTCTAGGATAAAGACAGGGAGGAGAGTGGATTGAGATAAATCCCTACTGTTTTTGTTGTTGTTGTTGTTGTTTTGGTTTTTAACTGTTTTGGGCCTTTTAGGTGTTAAGACTAAGGGGTGTTAGCACAGTTTTACTCCTTAGACTAGAGAAAGCCTGCTAAGGCAGTAGCCTAGTTTAGATCCAGAGAAAACTCTTTGGTGTATATATGTGTTTGTGTTTATTGGCTATGAATAATGGGGCAGTGGGAGCCTGTCCCTTTATTTGTTTAGATGTGTTCAGAGGCTTGATAGGGACTCTGTACTGGGATGTAAATACTGGACTACAGGGGTGGGGAAGATGTAGGGGCTGAGGTTTCAGGCTTCTTGGAGGTGCTTCTAGATTCTTTTTGGTACAACTTGGAGGGCACTTTGCTCCTTGCTTTTTAATCTCTTGTCTTCCATGTCCCCACGAATGGGGCTCTGACTTTGGAGGATGTTGGTACTCTTCCCAAGGCTGGACGAAGGTGGTTCTGTACCTTCTTCAGCAGTGCCAGACCGGCCTGAGAGGGCTGCGCTTGGGGGAGGGCAGAGGAATTCATCTCTCTGGCCTTGTGTGAGGTCCTCCTCCTACCCACTGTATTATCATTGTTGCTTTTTTATTTGTTGCTGTTTGTGATTCCTTTGGCCTCAACTTTGAGAGCAAAGTTGATGCAGAATCTTTGGGGGCATGTGGTGGTAAGATACAGTAAGATGCAAACATTTAGGAAACTGAGGCCCTGTTGGACCTTCTGGGTGTGGCCAGGCTTTGAGTGACTGAATAAGAAGAAGGCCTGGCTGGTGCTCCCACTTCCCATAGGTGACTTCTAAGGGCCCCTTGAAGTTTTAGGGAAGCTTGTCTGTGAGCTGGCCATAGGACCCACCCTACTTTCCTTTCAAGTGTGGTTGTGTGGCACATTTAGGAAAGAGAGATGGTTTGGGAATGGAGATGACAGATACCAGGTAATGCCATACATTCCCTATGTAGTAGATTTTGACTGTTAAGGGAAAAGTAAAATAATTTCCGTTCCTGCGACATGGCTCAGAAGGGACAGTGCCGATATCTGGAAATGAAGCTTGAGCTTAGTGAAAGAAGAATGAGAATGTGGTAGTTGAGGAATTCGTTTACTGATATTTGGTATCAAGAGGGTTCCTCTTGTTCTTCAACTCCAGTTGGAGTTGACTGGGGTATTTGAGAGGACAGGATTATCCTTACTTAGGTTGCTGTGATCACTCTTGTTAAACAAGAGGAGTGGAAAAGATAGAGGAATTGCTCAAACTTTTATCATTTATTGAGTTTTGGCTGTATTGGGGTTTGAACTCAGGGCATCATACTTACTAGTCAGGCACTCTACCACTTCAGCCATTCCCATTGTTTCAAACTTTTATTACTTACACTTCTCTTTTAGGGATTCCCTTACTCCACCATCACCTTCTCTAGGAACACTACTTTTTTTTCTCTGAGGGTCTAGCCTTCCCATTAACATCTGCAGGCAACTTTCTTCTGTAAGATTCTTTTTCTGTTCCTTATCTCTGTAATTTATATTCTTTACTCCTTTCATTCCTCTCTGTTTTTGTACTACGATCAATGTCCTCTGAGATTGAGAAAAATGTGCCCCAAGTTATCTACTCAACTTTTTTATATGTAACTTTAGTGTGTTCCATTTGATTCTAGTACAGGCTGACATATTTTAAAGGGGGACTGAAGACCGTTACTCCACTCTTCCTCCCCCAGTGTGTGTAGAAACCCTGCTTGAGGGAAGAGGAAGGAAGCTACTCTGCTCTGCTATGTCCTGCCCCATTTAGACCTCCAAGTGGCAGTGTGCTTCCTGAGACTACAACTCCCAGCATGCTTAGCCTCAGACCAGGCTACACATGCTCAGTAACTCTTAAGGCCCACTTCTGTTACCTACTAGGGACATATGAGGAGGAAGGGCAGTTGGCGTTGCTAAGGGCAACAACCTGAGGCCTTAATGCTTGGTGAGACTCAGGAGTGGGGGTAGGGGTAGGCCTGAGCTACATTTGGGTGGAAATTGGGGTTTTTTTCTGTTGCGATTGGGATGTCCTAGTCGAAACCAATGGAAGGTGGGAGATCCATCCATAATTAGGCTTTAGTTCCAGTAGTATGTTCTGCAAGATGCTAGGTCTGCCTCTGGAAGAGAAATTTCTACTTAATTCAGACTTTCTGGATCATAATTACCCCTGGGTTGGTGCTGATAGGCCTGTAGGGTGGTAGCTGACCTGAGACCTAAGGATAAAGGCCATGGGAGAGGACCTACCAGCAGCCAGGGGCTCAGAGATGATGCAAAGGGCAGTAATAGATACAAAGTGGTTGTACGTCTAGTTGGATACTATTGCCCTGGGAACTGTTATGGAAGAGGCTAGAAGTGGGAAAGTAGAGTGGATCCTCTGAGAATCTAGAGTAGGAGAAAGTATGTGTTTATCTGGGGAAGAATTAGGTAGTAGGATAAGAGTTAGGGAGAATAACTTCCCTTGCCATTAGTATAGGAGTTTGTAGGTAAGGCTTGGCTCTGATGTTTGAAGGGTACTGGACATACAGATATCTCTTGGCACCAACAGGTCTCCCCGAGAGGGCCCTGCCCAGTCGGAGAGAGGGATGGACAGCCAGAAGCTGCCTGGTGAAGATAAAGATTCAGAACCGGCAGGTGAGTAGGGCACAATTCTAGATTTGCTGACTTTACGTACAGTTTTATATTTTGATCCTGGCACAAGGATGAGCTATGTCTGTATAATAAACAGGTAATCGAAGGACTTTGTTCTTATGAGACAGAAATCAAAATGCTATCATGTGATCCACTGAGGGTTTTGGATTATCTCTTGAGTCTGGTAAGTGGACTTAGTATCAAATCAGGTTGACATGTGGTGCTTTATCTATTCATTCAGCTGATGGACCTGCAGCCTCCGAGGAGCCAGGTGCCACTGAGCCAGACCTTCCCAACCCAAATGTGGGGGAGGTCTCTATTCCCACTTCTGGGAGTCCCAGGCTTCAGGAACCTCCTCAGGACTGCAGGTAACTTGTTGGAAAATGGGATAGACATAAGGGCACATGAGAATTTGGTTTGAGAGTTTAGTGTCTTAAGGAAGAGGATTTAGGAAAATGAGTGTTTTAGGAAGTAGGCCAAACCATGGGGTTACAGGGGCCTGGCATGGTGCTGATGCTTGTGTGTCCACAGTGGGGGTCCAGTGCGGCGATGTGCTCTCTGTAACTGCGGGGAGCCCAGTCTGCATGGGCAGCGGGAGCTACGGCGCTTTGAATTGCCATTTGACTGGCCTCGGTCTCCAGTGGTGTCCTCTGGGGGGAGCCCAGGGCTCAGTGAGGCAGTGCTGTCCAGTGAGGACCTGTTACAGATTGGTTTCCCTGAGGGCCTTACACCTGCCCACCTAGGAGAACCTGGAGGTAAGTGAGGGGAAGTGGAGCAGGAAACGGGGTTGAGGCTGGGCAGTTTTGAGCCAGCAGTTACCTTATTATTAATTCTTTAACGTCTGCTTACCTCTTCCTGCCTATAAAGGGTCCTGCTGGGCACACCATTGGTGTGCTGCATGGTCAGCAGATGTATGGGGGCAGGAGGGCCCAGAGCTGCGTGATGTGGACAAGGCCATCTTCTCAGGGATCTCACAGGTAGGGCTAAGGTCAGAGGATTGCATAGGTGAAAGCAGAGGGTGGTGGGCTTCTGAGAGTCAGGGTAGGAGGACAGTGCATATACTGGGGCAGGGTTAGTGCCTAAACTGTTTCTCTAGAAAAAGCTGGCTGGCACTAAGGCTTTGTCTCATCCTGGCAGCGCTGCTCCCACTGCACCAGGTTCGGTGCCTCCATCCCTTGCCGCTCACCTGGATGTCCACAGCTTTATCACTTCCCATGTGCGACTGCCAGCGGTTCCTTCTTATCCATGAAGACACTGCAGCTGCTATGCCCGGAGCACAGTGAGGGGGCTGCACATCTTGGTGAGAAGTCCTGTAGTTTGGACAGAAAGCAAATGAGGGGATAAGTGTGTCTTGGATTTTGGTACTCTGCAGAGCATTCCTCAAAGTCTATAATTACATACTGTTACCCTGCTCCACTAAAATAGGTGTGAACTTTGTGAGCACAGGGACTTTGCTAGTCTCATTTACCATCATGTCTGTGGTACCTAGAATAGTACCTGACATATATTGGGCAAACACTCAGTAACAGTTTGTTATTCATTCTTTGTCCACAGAGTACCTGTTACCTCTATAGCTCTGTGCTGAGTTGTTCAAGGAATCCATAGTTAACTTGTGCACTCTTTGTCCTTTCCCACCGTAGACGAGGCTCGCTGTGCAGTATGTGAGGGGCCAGGAGAGCTGTGTGACCTGTTCTTCTGTACAAGCTGTGGGCATCACTATCATGGGGCCTGCCTTGACACTGCTCTGACTGCCCGCAAGCGTGCTGGCTGGCAGTGCCCTGAATGCAAAGTGTGCCAAGCTTGCAGGTAAGAATAGGAAGTCAGAAGGGAGGACTTAGGCAAAGCACAGGTGGTGGTTGAAAATGAGGGCAGAAAGGACCTTGTAATGTGCCTCCCACCCCTGTAGGAAACCTGGGAATGACTCTAAGATGTTGGTCTGTGAGACGTGTGACAAAGGATACCATACTTTCTGTTTAAAACCACCCATGGAGGAACTGCCTGCTCACTCTTGGAAGTGTAAGGTGAGTGTCTCCTGATTCTGCCTCCTACAGCATCCCAAAAATTTCCCTGTTGTGGCTAGTCCTATACTCTGAAGTCTGTATTTTGATTTGACCAGTGCCTGTTCTGTCCACTCCCTTTCCCTAGGCATGCCGGGTATGCCGGTCCTGTGGGGCAGGCTCAGCAGAGTTGAATCCCAACTCTGAGTGGTTTGAGAATTACTCTTTGTGTTACCGCTGTCACAAAACCCAGGGAGGTCAGCCTATCAGTTCTGTTGCTGAGCAGCATTCACCTGTCTGTGGCAGGTAAGTGGTGTGGACTGGTTGAGGTTGGGGGACGGGGGGAGTGTCAGAAAGACTGAGATTGGCAGGGCCATGTTAAAGCAAGTGGACTTTTAGAGGAAAGCTCTAAGATGGGCAGGGCAAGCTACAGTATTCGTTCTTCGTCCCAGTGTGCTCTTCAGGAGTTAGCTGGTGAGAGCCACAGTGCCTGCTCCCCTGTACCCTCTGCAGATTTTCGCCCCCAGAGCCTGGTGATATCCCCACTGATGAGCCTGATGCTATGTATGTTGCATGCCAAGGGCAGCCAAAGGGTGGGCATGTGACCTCTATGCAACCCAAGGAACCGGGGTCCCTGCAATGTGAAGCCAAACCACTAGGTGAGTAGGGTTTTGGGGGTCCCTGAAATTAATTTTGCATTTTGTGGCAAGAGACGTACTTGCTTGCTTTGTCTCAGACCCTACACTTTCTGTGGAGTAGATCTGAGCAAGGTTGGAGTATTGTGTGTTGTATTTGCAGGGAGAGCAGGGATCCAACTTGATTCCCAGTTGGAGGCCCCCCTAAATGAGGAGATGCCACTGCTGCCCCCACCTGAAGAATCACCCTTGTCCCCACCACCTGAGGAATCACCCACATCCCCACCACCTGAGGCCTCTCGCCTGTCCCCACCGCCTGAGGAGTCTCCTCTGTCTCCCCCACCTGAACCATCACCTTTTTCTCCACTGGAGGAATCACCATTCTCTCCTTTAGAGGAGTCACCCTTCTCTCCACCACAAGAGTCGCCCCCATCTCCTGCACTTGAGACACCCCTGTCCCCACCACCGGATGCATCACTCCTGTCTCCACCATTTGAGGAGTCTCCCCTGTCTCCCCCACCTGAAGAATTGCCCACTTCCCCACCACCAGAGGCATCTCGCCTATCTCCGCCTCCTGAGGAGTCTCCCATGTCCCCTCCACCTGAAGAGTCTCCCATGTCTCCACCACCAGAGGCATCTTGTCTATTCCCACCATTTGAAGAGTCTCCCCTGTCCCCTCCACCTGAGGAGTCTCCCCTCTCCCCACCTCCCGAGGCATCACGCCTGTCACCTGCTCCTGAGGACTCACCCATGTCCCCACTGCCTGAAGACTCGCCTATGTCTCCCCCACCTGAGGTGTCATGCTTATCCCCCCTGCCTGAGGTGTCACGCCTTTCTCCACCACCTGAGGAATCTCCCCTTTCCCCACCACCTGAGGAATCTCCCACATCACCTCCACCTGAGGCCTCACGCCTGTCCCCACCGCCTGAAGACTCCCCCATATCTCCACCACCGGAGGACTCACCTGCTTCGCCACCACCGGAGGACTCGCTCGTGTCCCTGCCGCTGGAGGAGTCACCCCTGTCACCACTGCCTGAGGAGCCGCGCCTGTCCCCTTGTCCTGAGGAGCCATGCCTGTCCCCTGCGCTTGAAGAACCATGTCTGTCTCCTCAGCCTGAGGAGCTACACTTGGCCTCTGTGCCTGAGGAACCACGCTTGTCCCCACGGCCTGAGGACCCGCACCTGTCCCTTCAGCCTGAGGAACCGCACCTCTCTCCCCAGCCTGAGGAGCCCCAGCTGTCCCCCATGCCTGAGGAGCCCCAGCTGTCCCAACAGCCTGAGGAACCTCACCTGTCCCCTCAGCCTGAAGAGCCTCCTGGGGAGCCAGGCCAGTGCCCTGCACCTGAGGAGTTGTTGTGCCCACCTGGGGAGCCACCCTTGTCCCCTTTGCTTGGAGAGCCCGCCCTGTCTGACCCCGGGGAACCGCCTCTATCCCCTCTGCCTGAGGAGTTGCGCTTGTCCCCATCAGGGGAGCCATCCTTGTCACCTCAGCTGATTCCACCAGGTAAGGGGATGTTAATGACCCCTTATTCTGAGACAGCTTTAATTCATTGTTTATGGCACATCTGATCTAAAAGCTACTCTTTTTGTCTTTCCCCCAGATCCTCTTCCTCCTCCGCTCTCACCCATTATCCCAGCTACGGCCCCGCCGGCTCTGTCTCCTTTGGGAGAATTAGAGTACCCCTTTGGTGCCAAAGGGGACAGTGACCCTGAGTCACCATTGGCTGCCCCCATTCTAGAGACACCCATCAGTCCTCCACCGGAAGCTAACTGCACTGACCCCGAGCCTGTGCCTCCAGTGATACTTCCCCCATCTCCAGGCTCCCCAATGGCACCTGCTTCTCCCATCTTGATGGAGACCCTTCCCCCACCATGTTCTCCACTACTTCAGCATTCCCTGCATCCCCCAAACTCCCTTCCTCAGTGCTCCCCTCCTGCTCTGCCCTTGTCTGTTCCCTCCCCATTGAGTCCCATGGGGAGGGCAGCGGAGGTCTCAGATGAGGCTGAGCTGCATGAGATGGAGATTGAGAAAGGTCCAGAACCTGAGTGTCCAGCCTTGGAACCCAGTGCCACCAGTCCTCTCCCCTCCCCCATGGGGGATCTTTCTTGCCCTGCCCCCAGCCCTGCCCCAGTCCTGGATGACTTCTCTGGCTTGGGAGAAGACACAGCCCCTCTGGTTGGGACTGATAATTGTGGTTCACAGCCAGAGGCTGGACAGACCCTTGGCAGTTTGGCTGGTGAACTTAAAGGTTCCCCCATGCTCCTGGCCCCCGAGGAGCTGGCCCCTGTGACCCCTATGGAGGTCTATGGCCCAGAATGCAAGCAGGAAGGGCAGGGCTCACCCTGTGAAGAGCAGGAAGAGCCTCGTGCACCAGTGGCCCCCACAACACCCACTCTCATCAAATCTGACATTGTTAATGAGATCTCTAATCTGAGCCAGGGCGATGCCAGTGCCAGTTTTCCTGGTTCAGAGCCCCTGTTGGGTTCTCCTGACCCTGAGGGGGGTGGCTCCCTGTCCATGGAGCTGGGGGTGTCTACAGATGTTAGTCCAGCCCGAGATGAGGGCTCCCTGCGGCTCTGTACCGACTCACTGCCTGAGACTGATGACTCATTATTATGTGATACTGGGACAGCTATCAGCGGAGGCAAAACTGAGGGGGACAAGGGGCGGCGGCGCAGCTCCCCAGCCCGTTCCCGAATCAAACAGGTGAGGGGTTATCCAGCTGCAGGTTGTAGTCAAGGTCAGGTACAGTCCTGTGCCACTGACACCTTCACACTTGCTTTACTGAAGCCTAGACTCATAGAGATCCTTTAGTTCAACTTCTTATAACTAAGAAGAATACTGATATAGAGGGGGCTAATGATTTACTCAGATTTGTGATTATTTGGTAATAGAATTGGGATCAGAAACTTGGGTCTCTTTATTCCCTGTTTTGCTCCTTAAACACTGTTTCTTTCTTTTTGGTTTTTTTTGTAGTACTGGGGCTTGAACTCAGGGCCTATATCTTGAACCACTCCATCAGCCCTTTTTTTGTGTTAGGTATTTTTGAGATAGGGTCTCACACACTGTTTGCCTGGGCTGGCTTTGAACAGAGATCTTCCTTATCTCTGCCTCCTGAGTAGTTAGATTACAGGTGTGAGCCACCAGCACCCGGCTAGACACTCTTTCTTCATGGGAGAGGAGAATGGTTCTGGGTCAGAGCTCCCTAATTGCTGATATTTGGGAACTTGGGTTTTCTCTGGTGGAGTGGGACTTCTGAACTTTATTGCCTGTTAAACTCTATCCATTCATCTTCCTTTTTCCCTATAAGCCTCTAACCCAATGTTCTTGCTCCTGTAATTGTCTTCTTTCCCTCCTCAGGGTCGTAGCAGTAGTTTCCCAGGAAGACGTCGGCCTCGTGGGGGAGCGCATGGAGGGCGTGGGAGAGGACGGGCCCGGCTAAAATCAACCACTTCTTCCATCGAGACTCTGGTAGTAAGGACAGGCTTCTCATCCTCCAAGCATGCTTCACGTGGTCCCTTAAAAATTAAGCACTCTTTAAATAAATTCTTCCAGTCCCCTGCATGCTAAGCTACCTGCCTGTTAGCCTAGAACCTGCCCCACTAAGTCTTTACCCCTGTCCACTTGGCCCTCAGGCTGCTCTGAAATCTCAGCCTTTGAGCAGGAACCTGATTTGGGAGTTGGAATGTTCCTCTGCCGCTTAATTCTGTTGTCTGGCCTTCTTAGCTAGGAGTTCACACCTTCTTTCCCAACACCAAAGAGGAAGTCAGCTTAGTTGGGATAAATTTATCTTCCTCACTTTCCACAACTCTCTGCTTATAAAGGTGGCTGATATTGATAGTTCTCCTAGCAAGGAAGAAGAAGAAGAAGATGATGACACCATGCAAAATACTGTGGTTCTTTTCTCCAACACAGACAAATTTGTTCTAATGCAGGTACCATACTTGACTGGGGTAGGCCCATCTTTGGCAGTGAGAGCTGGCATGCTGAACTTTGTGTGTATGTGTGTGTGTTTGTGTGAGGGTAGGTGGGGAAAACCAGGGACATACTTCTGGGGCTGCCCAGCTAATGAGAAAGCAATGAATCAATCCCACATAGCAGTGAAAAAGGTAGAATTGGCTTGTCCTATGGAAAATTGTAGTTTAGGGAACCTAGAATAATCTTGAAGCTGACGAAATTTGTCACACACAACTCTTATCTGAGCAGTCTTTACTCCATCTTATCTTCCGATAATTTTTTCTTACCTTTACCCATGTCAGACTTTATAAACTCAAGTTACCTAATTAGGCAAGTAAGGCATCATAGGGGAGGCTCAGTTGTATGGGTTGCACAGTAGGAGCAGGGTCCCATAGTGACCATGTAAGTGTCTTAATGCTGTGGGATGAGCTTCTGACTCCTTGGTCTCTGGGTAGTTGGCTGGGACTGGGTAGGACTAGGAGACCTGGTTGGACATTAAAGTTTCTGTGTTTCCCCAGGACATGTGTGTGGTGTGTGGCAGCTTTGGCCGGGGAGCAGAGGGCCACCTCCTAGCCTGTTCACAGTGTTCTCAGTGCTACCATCCTTACTGTGTCAACAGCAAGGTGAGTTAATGGCTCAGGAGGCATGGACTGGGGAACAAGGTCAGTTCTTTGTTACACTGGTCCCTCATACTGGCCTCACTATTACTACTGTTTTTTTTTTACTTAATTGTATGAAGGGCTTTCATCGTGATATTTCTGTACATGGATTTAATGTACAAAAATTGATCAAATTCACTCCCTCTGTTACTCGTTCCTGACACACTACTTAAAAGCCACCATGGCTCCTGAAAGATGTTCATTAGTCATCAGTGGCTGTCGTACTCATCTTGGGAAAAAGTGCTTTGGAACTCATGGCAGACTTTATAGTTTCTTTTTAAAATTTTTTGGGTGGTACTGGGATTTGAACCTAGGGCCTTACATTTGCTAGGCAGGTGCTTTACCACTTGAGCTACTCCATAAGCCCTTTTTTGTATTTTTGTTTGGTATTTTTGAGATAGGGTATTTCGAACTATTTGCCAGGGCTGGCTTCAAACCACCATCGCCTGATCTCTCCCTCCTGAGTATCTAGGATTATAGGTGTGAGTCATTGGCACCCAGCTTATAGTTTTCTTTGATAGAACAAAACTTGCTGGTATAATTCAGAACATCATATAAACAATGACAACTTTATAGTAGAAAATATGGTGTAGTCTGGAGATACAGCATGAAATCAAAACTGTAAGTACATATTCACAAAGAAAAAGCAGTGTTTTTGACCTAAAAGTGATCATTTTAGGGGTTTTAATATTTATGATTTATTCCACTGCTAACATTCACTAACTTGTATAAATAGCAGGTTTTAAATGTTCAAGAAAACTTGGGGAAACTATAAGTAGTTCTGTCCAGTCTTCTTGGCCTGTTGGTTAGTGAAGGATTGCTATTCTACTTTCACAAGAATGAGGCAGTGGATGGTGAGGCTGCTCTGTGATCAGCAGAGATTTCTGGGAGCCTATTTAGAGCCACTGTTATAGGGGTGAAAGTGCTCTATATAAGCCTCCCTGTGTTCAGAGGTCTGGCCTGTGCACTGGGGTTCCTCCAGACCTTCTCATGTAAATTCTGCCTCCCCCTTTACACCCTGAGGAATCCCATTTTCTTTACCAGATCACCAAGGTGATGCTGCTAAAGGGCTGGCGTTGTGTGGAGTGCATCGTATGTGAGGTATGCGGCCAGGCCTCTGACCCTTCACGCCTGCTGCTCTGTGATGACTGTGACATTAGCTACCACACATACTGCCTGGATCCCCCACTGCTCACGGTGCCCAAGGGTGGCTGGAAGTGCAAGTGGTAAGGAGACCTGGAATCTTCCATAGAGCCTGGGGCCTGAGGATAGTTGGCATGGGCCTGAGACAGAGGCTGTATTTAATAGGCTAGGCTGCTCATTGGGTTCTCTGTGGGGGTATCTCTGGATTCCTTGGGTATGTTAGGTGCTAAGGGTCTGTCTTTCTGCCCCCGCCAGGTGTGTGTCTTGTATGCAGTGTGGGGCCGCCTCCCCTGGCTTCCACTGTGAGTGGCAGAATAGTTACACACACTGTGGGCCCTGTGCCAGCCTGGTGACCTGCCCGATCTGTCACGCTCCATATGTGGAAGAGGACCTGCTAATCCAGTGCCGTCACTGTGAACGGTGAGAGCGTCTCTTTTCCCTCATGTTGGCCTCACTCCCTGGTACAGCCTGGCGTCGCCTGTGCTTATCCCCCTGTGTCCATTCTCTCAGGTGGATGCATGCTGGCTGTGAGAGCCTCTTCACAGAGGATGATGTAGAGCAGGCAGCAGATGAGGGCTTTGACTGTGTCTCTTGTCAGCCCTATGTGGTAAAGCCTGTGGGTGAGTACCATGTGTTGGGAGGGGCGAGGAGGAGACAAGGTAAGGGTGCCTTGCTTTAGGACAGCACCCAAGCTGCCATGGTTTGTCCTTTTCTCCATAGCACCTGTTGCTCCACCAGAGTTGGTGCCTATGAAAGTGAAAGAACCAGGTGAGTCATGGAATTTTGAATGCCAGCCTAGATGAGACCATAGATACCATCTAGTCTAGCTCCAACTCCCCAACTTCATCTCCTCATTTTAAGGGAAAAAACTAAGAGAAGGTGAATGGCCTGCCCAAAGTCACCTAGTAAGTTAGTGGCAATGAGTAGAACACGGTCTTCAGATTCCCAGACACTTCCTTTCACCCAGCAACATGACTTCTCTACTATCAGAATTTCATCTCATGAGAGCACACCTCTTCTCAGTGGAGGGGACTAGGGCCATCTCCTCCACCATGATGTGGCACAGGGGCCAGCATTCAGCATGTAGGAACCCTCCTATCCCCTGACAGTTAGGGAATCTATTTGGTGAACCTAGAGTTAATCCTGAGAAAAGCCAGTCTTCTGGAGTAGCAGACCCAGAGGATTCATATCAGTGGATGAAAACTCAGGCCTTAACTAGTGCCCCTTGGTGGTCTGTTCTCTCTAGCCTTCAGAATCCAGGCTGGATTTTCTGTCACTGCTTTTGCATCAGCTGAGGACATAGGTTGAAATTTGAGGTTCTGCTTTCTTTGGGATCTCCTTCCAGAAGTCACATTCTCTTCCTTCTTGTCCAGAGCCCCAGTACTTTCGCTTTGAAGGTGTGTGGCTGACAGAAACTGGCATGGCTGTGCTGCGTAACCTGACCATGTCACCGCTGCACAAGCGGCGCCAGCGGCGAGGACGGCTGGGTCTTCCAGGCGAGGCAGGGCTGGAGGGTTCTGAGCCTTCAGATGCTCTTGGCCCTGATGACAAGAAGGATGGGGAACTGGATACTGACGAGCTGCTCAAGGGTGAAGGTTGGGCTGGGGAATCTCAGGGAGAGGCAAGGCATGTGGGTGTTGGGATGTTGGGTGGGGACCACTTTGCCACTCTTGGTCACCCTCTAGCATTTTGGTCTTGCTTACGTGACTCTGTGGCAAAGTACTGGATTCCCTTTGGCAGAATGAGAAGGGTAAAAGGGTAATCTGCCTCTGACTCTTCTGTTACTATGCACAGGTAGTGTGGAGCACATGGAATGTGAAATTAAACTGGAGGGTCCTGCCAGCCCAGATATGGAGCCTGGCAAAGAGGAGACGGAAGAAAGCAAAAAACGCAAGCGCAAACCCTATCGGCCTGGTGAGGCCCTGGATTAGGGAGATGGGGTGGTAAAGGGTAATTCACCAGGTCCCCCAGCAGCTTCTCATCCTTAGCTCCACCTCCTCATAGGCATTGGTGGTTTCATGGTGCGACAGCGGAAATCTCACACACGTGTGAAAAAGGGGCCTGCTGCACAGGCGGAGGTGTTGAGTGGGGATGGGCAGCCCGACGAGGGTGAGACGGGTGAGGGCACCAGTGGGGCCTGGGAGAATGTGGGGGTCACAGTACATGTGGGACAAGTCAGGGAGGCCCGGGCTGGGGCTTACTGCAATGGCCAAGAAGGTGGTGGGTCCAGCTGGTATTGGGGAAGAGAGTAAGCAGCAAGTGTCTCCCAATAGATAGGACACAGCATGCCCAGTGTCCCCAGGGAACCTGAGCCCTTTTACTTTGTCTGTAGTGATGCCTGCTGATCTGCCTGCAGAGAGCTCTGTGGAACAGAGTCTCGTTGATGGGGATGAGAAAAAGAAGCAGCAGCGGCGAGGGCGCAAGAAGAGCAAACTAGAGGACATGTTCCCTGCTTACCTGCAGGTGGGTCTTCATCTCCAAGCATTGGGGGAGGTGTCTGCGCTTATAGGCGCATCAAGAAATTGTTTCTTCTTCTGGGCTCTGGTGGTGGCTCACGCCTATAATCCTAGCTACTCAGGTGGCAGAGATCATAAGGATCGATGTTCGAAGCCAGCCCTGGGCAAATAGTTCTTGAGACCCTATTTTGAAACAACTCAACACAAAAAAGGGCTGGCAGAGTGGCTCAAGCGGTAAGAGTGCCTGCCTAGCAAGTGTGAGGCCCTGAGTTCAAACCTCTGCCTCCCAAAAAACAAAAAAGAAATTGTTTCTCCTGCTGGGTTTATAATCCTAGCTACTTGGAAGGCTGAGATTGGGAAGATTGTGATTTGAGGCCTAGCTCAGACAAATAGTTCTTTGAGACCCCCCCCATCTCCAAAATAACCAGAGCAAGATGGACTGGAGATGTGAATCAAACAGCTTTGCAAGTGTGAAACTCTTGAGTTCAAATCCCAGTCCCACACACACTGCTTTTCTGACTTCTTCCACAGGAAGCCTTCTTTGGGAAGGAGCTGCTGGACCTAAGCCGGAAGGCCCTTTTTGCTGTTGGGGTGGGCCGACCAAGCTTTGGGCTAGGAGCTCCAAAAGCCCGGGGGGATGGAGGCTCGGATAGGAAGGAGCTCCCTACTTCACAGAAAGGTTAGTTACGTGGGATTGAAGTGGTCTGAGGGAGCCAACTTGCCAACTTGGCAAGGATGTGTGTCAGGGAAGGGGCTGGTTTCTAGGGCCCTGGCCTGTGGGGCTAGGGACCCATTTTGGGTAACAGGTGTAGAACATCACTGACTAGAGTGGGAACGATTGCTTGTAGGAGACGATGGTCCAGATGTTGCAGATGAAGAGTCCCGTGGCCCTGAGAGCGTGGCTGATACACCAGGTGAGGGTTGCTGGGTCCTAACTTGGCTTTGTCTCTGTCAGTTGGCTCTGCCCCTGAGCACTGTCAGGTTGGAGTCTAGAAACTGTTCTGTGCCCTGCTGTGGTTCATGGTGGCCAGTGTGGTACCTTTATACTTCCATGACCTTGACTGATGTGTTTCTCTTGGTGATTGCAGGACCTGAGGATGGGGGTATAAAGGCATCCCCAGTGCCCAGTGACCCTGAGAAGCCAGGCACCCCAGGTGAAGGGATGCTTAGCTCTGATTTAGACAGGATTCCCACAGAAGGTGAGGCTTCTAAGGGTCTTCTCTGTGTATAGGGTCCTCCATGGCAAAAGATGGTCCTATCTATGGGATTGATGTGTATAGCTCTGAGGTCATGATCAGGAGGCCATGACCATTTATAGATTTGTGGTGTCATGTGAACTTCCCAGTATTCCTCATCAGTGTCCTTCTGTCATTGTCCTACAGAACTGCCCAAGATGGAGTCCAAGGACTTGCAACAGCTCTTCAAGGATGTCCTGGGTTCTGAACGAGAGCAGCATCTGGGCTGTGGAACCCCTGGCCTAGAAGGCAGCCGTACACCGCTGCAGAGGCCCTTTCTCCAAGGTGATAACAGTAGGGGGGAGTGGTTTGAAGACTGCCATAGCCAATCTTGTTCCCAGAGTGGGCCACTACTCCCTTTTCTCTGATCCTGTCCCTTTTGTAGGTGGACTCCCTTTGGGCAGTCTCCCCTCCAGCAGCCCAATGGATTCCTACCCAGGCCTCTGCCAGTCCCCCTTCCTGGATTCTAGGTTGGTATCTGTGCTTAACCTTCATGGGTAGTCCCTGTTGTCCTTTCCCTCCAACTATGTCCCTACCTCAGCTCCTCTGCCACTATAGTGACAGTTCCCCTGTTCCTCCCATTCCCTCATTAGTGGCTGTCCTCTGTTGGGGTATGGCAGTGGCCTGGGGCTCTGGGCAGTTTGTCTGGGATGGGTCTTGGCATCTCTGCCCCCTGTGACTCTCTGCCCCTGCGCCCCAGGGAGCGCGGGGGCTTCTTTAGCCCAGAACCCGGTGAGCCAGACAGTCCATGGACAGGCTCGGGGGGCACCACGCCCTCCACGCCCACCACCCCCACCACGGAGGGTGAGGGCGATGGGCTCTCCTATAACCAGCGGAGTCTACAGCGTTGGGAGAAGGACGAGGAGTTGGGCCAGCTCTCCACCATCTCGCCTGTGCTGTATGCCAACATTAACTTTCCTAATCTCAAGCAAGATTATCCAGGTACCTGTGGGATGAGGGCAAGGGAAACAACCTGGTAGCCAGGCAGGTCAGGTCTTCTGATTGAATTCTTCTGTCCTCCAGATTGGTCTAGCCGTTGCAAACAAATCATGAAGCTCTGGAGAAAGGTTCCAGCTGCTGACAAAGCCCCCTACTTGGTAAGTCAGAAAGGTGCATAGGCTAGTCTGGGAATTGAAATGAACAAGGGAGGTGTGTCTGGGACATTCATCTCAGTTTTTTCACCATCACACCCTGTCCCCTGCTATCCCAGAGCAGTTGGGCCAGAAGGGATCAGTTTTTGGGTAGGGAGTATGAGTGACCTTGTTGGGGCTGGACTTGAGACTGAGTGCTAGGCCCTATGTTGTGTCCTGTGTCCCTCAGCAAAAGGCCAAAGATAACCGGGCTGCTCATCGCATCAACAAGGTGCAGAAGGTGAGTGGGGACAGGGCTGGGCCAATCCATCAAAGTCCTAGTGGGTGGCTCCTGTAGGGTGGGGATACATGGGTCCTGCCTATTACAGAGCCTGATTGCTCTGTGCTTGGTTTCCCCCTGTAGCAGGCTGAGAGCCAGATCAACAAGCAGACCAAGGCGGGCGACATAGCCCGTAAAACTGATCGACCGGCCCTCCATCTCCGCATTCCCCCCCAGCCAGGGGCATTGGGTAGTCCACCCCCTGCTGCGGCCCCCACCATTTTCATTGGCAGCCCCACCACCCCCGCCAGCTTGTCTACCTCTGCGGATGGGTTCCTGAAGCTGCCAGCGGGCACAGTGCCCGGTCCCGACTCACCTGGTGAGCTCTTCCTCAAGCTTCCACCCCAGGTGCCCGCCCAAGTGCCTTCGCAGGACCCCTTTGGACTGGCTCCCACTTATGCCCTGGAGCCCCGCTTCCCTGCAGCACCACCCACCTATCCCCCCTATCCAAGTCCAACTGGGACCCCTGCGCAGCCCCCAGTGCTGGGTGCCTCATCTCGCCCAGGGACTGGCCAGCCAGGGGAATTCCACACTACCCCACCTGGCACCCCCCGACTTCAGCCCTCTACACCTGACCCGTTTCTCAAACCCCGCTGCCCCTCACTGGACAACCTGGCTGTGCCTGAGAGCCCAGGGGGAGTAGGAGGCAAGGCTTCTGAGCCCCTACTCTCACCCCCACCTTTTGGGGAATCTCGGAAGGCCCTAGAGGTGAAGAAAGAAGAACTTGGGGGATCTTCTCCTAGCTATGGGCCCCCAAACATGGGCTTTGTTAACTCACCCTCCTCAGGCCCCCACTTGGGTAGCCTGGAGTTAAAGGCACCTGATGTCTTCAAAGCCCCCCTGACCCCTCGGGCATCTCAGGTAGAGCCCCAGAGCCCGGGACTGGGCCTACGGCCCCAGGAGCCACCCCCTGCCCAGGCTTTGGCCCCTTCTCCTCCCAGCCACTCAGATGTTTTTCGCCCTAGCCCCTATCCTGACCCCTACGCCCAGCCTCCGTTGACCCCTCGGCCCCAACCCCCACCTCCCGAGAGCTGCTGTGCCCTGCCCCCTCGTTCACTGCCTTCTGACCCTTTCTCCCGAGTGCCCGCCAGCCCTCAGTCCCAGTCCAGCTCCCAGTCCCCATTAACTCCCCGTCCTCTGTCTGCTGAAGCTTTCTGCCCATCCCCTGTTACCCCTCGCTTCCAGTCCCCGGACCCTTATTCTCGCCCACCCTCACGCCCTCAGTCCCGTGACCCATTTGCCCCACTGCATAAACCGCCCCGACCCCAGCCCCCTGAAGTTGCCTTTAAGGCTGGGCCTCTAGCCCACACTCCTCTGGGGGCTGGGGGCTTTCCAGCAGCCCTGCCCTCGGGGCCAGCAGGTGAACTCCATGCCAAGGTCCCAAGTGGGCAGGCCCCCAGTTTTGCCCGCTCCCCTGGGACGAGTGCATTTGTAGGTACCCCTTCTCCCATGCGTTTCACTTTTCCTCAGGCTGTAGGGGAGCCTCCCCTAAAGCCCCCTGTCCCTCAGCCTGGTCTCCCTCCACCCCATGGGATCAACAGCCATTTTGGGCCGGGCCCCACTTTGGGCAAGCCTCAAAGCACAAACTATGCTGTAGCCACGGGGAACTTCCATCCATCAGGCAGCCCTCTGGCACCCAACAGTGGGTCTACAGGGGAGGGCTATGGGCTGTCCCCACTACGCCCTGCATCAGTTCTACCACCACCTGCACCCGACGGATCCCTTCCCTACCTGTCCCATGGAGCCTCACAGCGGGCAGGAATCACCTCTCCAGTTGAAAAGCGAGAAGACCCAGGGACTTCAATGAGTAGCTCTTTGGCTGCACCTGAACTCCCCGGTACCCAGGATCCAAGCATGTCCAGCCTTAGCCAGACAGAGCTGGAGAAGCAACGGCAGGTAAGTGGGCAACCTGGAACTGAGCCCTCCTGTACCTCTGCTGTCTCTGTACCAATCGTGTGGTTGGAATAGAATGGAATTACTTTTCTGTTTTCTGCACAGCGCCAGCGACTACGGGAGCTGCTGATTCGGCAGCAGATCCAGCGCAACACCTTGCGGCAGGAGAAGGAAACAGCTGCCGCAGCTGCAGGTGCAGTGGGGCCCCCAAGCAACTGGGGTGCTGAGTCTAGCGGCCCTGCCTTTGAACAGCTGAGTCGAGGTCAGACCCCCTTCACTGGGACCCAGGTAGGTAGAGTGGGAAGGGGTAATAGAGCCAGGACACTAAAGAATGGGCCCTACTTTCATCTCTTTCTGTCTTTTAGGACAAGAGCAGCCTCGTGGGGTTACCCCCAAGCAAGCTAGGTGGCGCTATCTTGGGGCCAGGAACCTTCCCCAGTGATGACAGACTCTCCCGGCCACCTCCATCAGCCACACCTTCCTCTATGGATGCAAACAGCCGGTAAGGCTACAGGAGATTCAGGGGAAGAGGGGAGAACAACAAGAAAGGGACAGATTTTACCACGATTGTATGCTGCCTCTGATTTTCCCCTTTCTCTAATCTTCCTCTAGTGTCACTTGCTCTTCTTCCTCATTCCTTCCCCCTGCTTTCATTTGGCTCTTCCTCACTGCCCTATGCCCTTGTTCTAGCTCTCCATCCTGATTGCGTCTCACTGACTACTGCATATTCTTCCAGGCAACTGGTAGGAGGCTCCCAGGCCTTCTATCAGCGCGCGCCCTATCCCGGGTCCCTGCCCTTACAGCAGCAACAACAACTGTGGCAGCAGCAGCAGCAGCAGCAACAGCAACAGCAGCAGCAGCAGCAGCAGCAGCAGGCAACAGCAGCAACCTCCATGCGACTTACCATGTCTACTCGCTTTCCATCAACTCCTGGACCTGAACTTGGCCGCCAAGCACTAGGTTCCCCTTTGGTGGGAATTTCCACCCGCCTGCCAGGCCCTCCTGAACCAGTGTCTGGTCCAGCTGGTCCTGCCCAGTTCATTGAGTTGCGACACAATGTACAGAAAGGACTAGGGCCCGGGGGAGCTCCATTTCCTGGTCAGGGTCCCCCTCAGAGGCCCCGGTTTTACCCCGTAAGTGAGGACCCCCATCGACTAGCTCCTGAAGGGCTTCGTGGCCTGGCAGTATCGGGCCTTCCCCCACAGAAACCCTCAGCTCCACCGGCCCCTGAATTGAACAACCTCCATCCAACTCCCCATACCAAGGGTCCTGCCCTGCCAGCTGGTTTAGAGTTGGTCAGCCGACCCCCATCGAGCACTGAGCTTGGTCGTCCTGCTCCTTTGTCCTTGGAGGCTGGGAAGTTACCCTGTGAGGATCCTGAGCTGGACGATGACTTTGATGCCCACAAGGCCCTAGAAGATGATGAAGAGCTTGCTCACTTGGGTCTGGGTGTGGATGTTGCCAAGGGTGATGATGAGCTGGGCACTCTGGAAAACCTAGAGACCAATGATCCCCACCTGGATGACCTGCTCAATGGAGATGAGTTTGACCTATTGGCATATACTGATCCTGAGCTAGACACCGGGGATAAGAAGGACATCTTCAATGAGCATCTAAGACTGGTAGAATCAGCAAATGAGAAGGCTGAGCGGGAGGCCCTGCTGCGGGGTGTGGAACCAGGACCCTTAGGTCCTGAGGAGCGCCCTCCCCCTGCAACTGATCCCACTGAGCCCCGCCTGGCATCTGTGCTACCTGAAGTGAAGCCCAAGGTGGAAGAGGGTGGGCGCCATCCTTCCCCTTGCCAGTTCACCATTGCTACTACCCCCAAGGTAGAACCAACACCTTCTGCCACTTCCCTCAGCCTGGTGCTGAAGGCAGGACAGACTGTAATGGGCAGCAGGGACACACGAATGGGCACAGGACCATTTTCCAACAGTGGGCACACAACTGAGAAGGGCCCCTTTGGAGCCACAGGAGGACCTCCAGCTCACCTGCTGACCCCCAGCCCACTTAGTGGCCCAGGAGGATCTTCCCTTCTGGAAAAGTTTGAGCTAGAGAGTGGAGGCCTGACCTTGCCTGGTGGACATGCAGCATCTGGGGATGAACTGGATAAGATGGAGAGCTCACTGGTAGCCAGTGAGTTGCCTTTGCTCATTGAGGACCTGTTGGAGCATGAAAAGAAGGAACTGCAAAAGAAGCAGCAGCTTTCAGCACAGTTGCAGCCTGCCCAGCAGCAACAGCATCAGCAGCAGCAACAACATTCCCTACTGTCCACACCCGGCTCTACCCAGGCCATACCTATACCACATGAGGGCTCTTCTCCCAGTTTGGCTGGGCCCCAACAGCAGCTTGCCCTGGGTCTTGGAAATACCAGACAGCCAGGCTTGGGTCAACCATTGATGCCCACCCAGGCACCAAATCATGCTCTCCAGCAGCGCCTGGCCCCATCTATGGCCATGGTGTCCAACCAAGGGCATATGCTGAGTGGGCAACATGGAGGGCAGGCAGGTTTGGTGCCCCAGCAGAACCCACAGTCAATGCTAGCACAGAAGCCCTTGAGCACCATGCCTCCTTCCGTGTGCATGAAGCCCCAGCAGCTGGCCATGCAGCAGCAGCTGGCTAACAGCTTCTTCCCAGATACAGGTAACCTCAGCTGTTGCATAGTTGAGTTACTCAGGGGTGATCATAGTTACCACCAAATGGGCACTGAGGCTAGCGATGTAGATAATCCCCAGTTAAAAGAGTAGGACACAAAGAGCTTTAGCTAAATACCAAAGCTATTGTAGGCAACATTGTAACTTTTAAAGAAAGGGACAGTTCTTGGCATATAACAAGCATTCAGATGTCTAACTGAATGACTGAATGGAGTCAGTGAGTGAACGAATGAATGAATAAATGAAGCCTGATCAGCAAAGGCTTCTGGCAGTGGTGATGCTAAAAGTTTATAACTTGGAGAGAAGGGATACAAAGAAAAATAGTCCAAGGTAATTGAAAATACTAGGTTGTAGTGGTAAGAAAACCTATGGGGTATTTGGAGAACAAAGAATAATGTGGTAGACGTGATTAGGCACTACCATAATTTTGGAGAGGTAAGATGTGGGACCATGTTGAAGCAGACCTCAAATTATAGCAGTATTTATTACTCTTTGCCAAGAATTATGCTGAGTGCTTTATCCTTATTTTATCATCACAACAGATAGACTGAATAGGTAAGTTGTTGTCTCTGACTACAGAGGAGAAACTGACACATCAAAGTTAAGTCTAAGATTACACAGCAACTAGCATAGCCAGATCTGAACTCTGGTAGTCCTCTTAACTGCCTCAGAATTCAGGCAAGTGATATTACTAGTGCATTAGAAAGTGGGGAATCAGTTTTCTGAGGAGTGGGGATACATACAAAATGTAGGATTTTAGATGGATTAGGGTTTTTGGTTCTTTGTTGGTTTTTTTTCTTTTTTTGAGACAGGGTCTCACTAAGTGCCCCAGACTGATCTTCCTGCCTTAACCTCCCAACTGCTGAGATAACAGGCTCGTGCCACCATGTCAGTTTATTTTTCATTTTTTTAATGCAGCATCTTGAACTGGCAGGATAGTGAGTTATTAGGTGATACCCTTTTGTGTTCCAAATAGTTCTGCTATATAGGATTTGCTTCAGTGCCCGCATCTTGGGTTCTTGTTTATTTATTTGGCAATGCTGGAGGTTGAACTCAGGGCAAATGCTTGCTAGGCAGGCATTCTACTACTTGAGCCACACCACCAACATATCTTGGGTTCTTGAGGTGTGCATTTGCACTAAGGGCCCTACTTTGAATAATACTTTCCATTCTTGTCTCATGATCCTCTACAGTTGCATGAGGTAGGCAGAGTAGGGATCAAGATCTCTATCAAATAGAGGTAAACTGAGGATTAGAGTGGTAAAGTGACATTAGTATATATTGAGTCAACAAATATTTCCTAGCACTGTGCGAGTAAAAGCAGGACCACATGTCCTGTGAATAGTGGAGTTGTGTCACCAGGCTTCCTGGCTCCTAGCTCATGAACTTTATTCTGGGCTGTGCCATTGTTATGTATAGCTTGGTGGAAGTCAGGGTGTTGAAACAAACAGCAATCATACAATGGATCATTGATCCCAAAACGCAGCTAATTTGGTTTTTTCCTCTCCAGATCTGGACAAATTTGCTGCAGAAGATATTATCGATCCTATTGCAAAGGCCAAGATGGTGGCTTTGAAAGGCATCAAGAAAGTGATGGCTCAGGGCAGCATTGGGGTGGCACCTGGCATGAATAGGTAAGACTCAGAGCTGGGGTGGGGCTGGCCCTTTTCTTTCCCAGTCATACCCCTTTCCTGTGTTACCCCTGCCCTACTTATTCCACTTCTTTGCCTTTCAACTTTGCCTTCACCAACACTTAATCTTCTTTGCTTTAATGGACTCTAGGCAGCAAGTGTCACTGCTAGCTCAGAGGCTCTCTGGGGGATCTGGCAGTGATCTTCAGAACCATGTGACACCTGGGAGTAGCCAGGTAAGTTGTCAGGGAGAGTAGGAACTTGTGTATTATATCATTGGGCCTCCTTTTTTAGGACCTGGCATGGAACAATGACCATAACCTTTTAGCAGTCTTTCTCATCACAGGAGCGGAATGCCAGTGACCCCTCTCAGCCTCGTCCCAACCCACCCACCTTTGCCCAGGGAGTGATCAGTGAGTATGGGGCATAAGAAGAGAGTGCCAGAAAGTTATTAGGGAACCTATGGAAGGTGAGGGATTAGGGTCACTGTTTTGCAGATCCTAACACCCCACTTTCTCTTCCAGATGAGGCTGACCAGCGGCAGTATGAAGAGTGGCTATTCCACACCCAGCAGCTCCTACAGATGCAACTGAAGGTGCTAGAGGAGCAGATTGGTGTGCACCGCAAGTCCCGGAAGGCTCTGTGTGCCAAGCAGCGCACTGCCAAAAAGGCTGGCCGTGAGTTCCCAGAAGCTGATGCTGAAAAGCTCAAGCTGGTTACAGAGCAGCAGAGCAAGATCCAAAAACAGCTGGATCAGGTGGGAAAAGCATACTTCAGCTTAGCACTCAGAATTCAGGGACAGGGGTTGGCTCCAGGCTAACCTGTCTGACCCTTCCACGTTAGGTCCGGAAACAGCAGAAGGAGCACACTAATCTCATGGCAGAATATCGAAACAAGCAGCAGCAACAGCAGCAGCAGCAGCAGCAGCAACAGCAGCAACAGCAGCAACATTCAGCTGTGTTGGCTCTCAGCCCTTCTCAGAGTCCCCGGCTACTCACCAAACTCCCTAGCCAGCTACTTCCTGGCCATGGTCTGCAACCACCACAGGGGCCCCCAGGAGGACAAGCTGGAGGTCTTCGCTTGCCCCCTGGGGGTATGGTACTACCTGGACAGCCTGGTGGCCCTTTCCTCAACACAGCCCTGACCCAACAACAGCAGCAGCAGCATTCTGGTGGGACTGGATCATTGGCTGGCCCCTCAGGAGGCTTCTTCCCTGGCAATCTTGCCCTCCGAAGCCTTGGACCTGACTCAAGGCTCTTACAGGAAAGGCAGCTACAGCTGCAGCAGCAACGCATGCAGCTAGCCCAGAAACTGCAGCAGCAGCAGCAACAACAACAACAACAACAACACCTCCTAGGACAGGTGGCAGTTCAGCAGCAACAGCAGCAGGGTCCTGGGGCACAGGCAAACCAGGGTCTGGGTCCCAAGCCCCAGGGGCTTCTGCCTCCCAGCAGCCACCAGGGCCTCCTGGTCCAGCAATTGTCCCCCCAACAGCCCCAGGGGCCCCAAGGCATGCTGGGTCCTACCCAGGTGGCTGTGTTGCAGCAGCAGCACCCTGGAGCTTTGGGCCCTCAGGGCCCTCACAGACAGGTGCTTATGACCCAGTCCCGGGTGCTGAGTTCCCCCCAGCTAGCACAGCAGGGTCACGGCCTTATGGGACACCGGCTGGTCACAGCCCAGCAGCAGCAGCAGCAACAACAGCACCAACAGCAGGGATCCATGGCAGGGCTTTCCCATCTTCAGCAGGGCCTAATGTCACACAGCGGACAGCCCAAACTGAGCACTCAGCCTCTGGGCTCCTTGCAGCAGCAGCAGCTTCAGCAGCAGCAGCAGCAACAGCAGCAGCAGCAACAGCAGCAGCAGCAGCAGCAGCAGCAGCAGCAACTTCAACAGCAGCAGCAGCTTCAGCAACAGCAGCAGCAACTTCAACAGCAGCAGCAGCAGCAACAACAGCATCAACAGCAGCAGCAGCTTCAGCAACAGCACCAGCAACTACAGCAGCAGCAATTTCAACAGCAACAGCAGCAGCAAATGGGCCTCTTGAACCAGAGTCGAACTTTATTATCTCCTCAGCAACATCAGCAGCAGCAGCAGGTGACACTTGGCCCTGGACTGCCAGCCAAACCTCTTCAACACTTTTCAAGCCCTGGAGCCCTGGGCCCAACTCTCCTCCTGACGGGCAAGGAACAAAATGTAGAGGCAGCCCTTCCTTCAGAGGTCACTGAGGTGCCCTCAACACATCAGGGAGGGTCATTAGCAATGGGGACCGCACCTGAGTCTATGGCCATTGAACCAGGGGAGGTAAAGCCCTCCCTCTCCGGGGACTCACAACTCCTGCTTGTTCAATCCCAGGCTCAGCCTCAGGCCAACTCTCTGCAGCTTCAGCCACCTCTGAGGCTCCCAGGACAACCACAGCAGCAAGTTAACTTGCTCCACACAGGTGTAGGGAGCCATGGGCAGCAACTAGGCAGCGGATCATCTGAGGCTTCATCTATGTCCCACCTGCTGGCCCAACCCTCTGTTTCCTTAGCAGAGCAGCCTGGGCCCATGACCCAGAACCTTCTGGGCCCCCAACAGCCCCTTGGGCTAGAGCGACCCATGCAGAATAATTCAGGGCCACAGCCTCCCAAACCAGGAACTGTCCCCCAGTCTGGGCAGGGTCTGTCTGGGGTTGGAGTCATGCCTACAGTAGGTCAGCTTCGAGCACAGCTCCAAGGAGTCCTAGCCAAGAACCCACAGTTGCGGCACTTGAGTCCTCAGCAGCAGCAGCAGCTACAGGCACTCCTCGTGCAGCGGCAGCTGCAGCAGAGTCAGGCAGTACGGCAGACTGCAACATATCAGGAGCCTGGAACCCAGCCATCTCCCCTCCAGGGCCTTCTGGGCTGCCAACCTCAACCTGGGGGCTTCTCTGGATCCCAGACAGGCCCCCTCCAAGAGCCAGGGACAGGGCCTCGACCTCAGGGCCCACCCCGGCTCCCTGTCCCACAAGGAGCCTTATCCACAGGACCTGTCATTGGTCCTGTTCATCCCACCCCTCCACCATCCAGCCCCCAAGAGCCAAAGAGACCTTCCTCACAATTACCTTCCCCTAGTACCCAGCTCACCCCCACCCATCCAGGGACTCCAAAGCCCCAAGGACCAACCTTGGAGCTGCCTCCTGGGAGGGTCTCACCTGCTGCTGCCCAGAGTGCGGATACCTTCTTTGGCAAGGGGCTGGGACCTTGGGACCCACCAGACAACCTACCAGAAGCCCAGAAGCCAGAGCAGAGCAGCCTGGTGTCTGGGCATCTGGAGCAGGTGAATGGACAGGTGGTGTCTGAGCCACCCCAACTCAGCATCAAGCAGGAGCCTCGGGAAGAGCCATGTGCCCTGGGAGCCCAAGCAGTGAAGAGGGAGGCCAGTGGGGAGCCAATTGGGGCACCAAGTACCAGCAACCACCTCCTGCTGGCAGGCCCCCGCTCAGAGGCTGGACATCTGCTTTTGCAGAAGCTTCTACGGGCAAAGAATGTGCAACTCGGTGCTGGGCGAGGGCCTGAGGGGCTGCGAGCTGAGATCAATGGGCACATTGACAACAAACTGGCAGGGCTGGAGCAGAAACTACAGGGTACCCCCAGCAACAAGGAGGTGAGTGCCCTGACTAGAGTGACACAGAGTGGGGCCTGGAGTGGTATGGGCAGAGCAAGTAGGTCTGGATCAGACAGAATAGGTGAGGGCTCTGAGGGTAAGGGCAGCAGCCTTCATAGGGCTTATCTGGCTTAGGATGCAGCTGCAAGGAAGCCTTTGACACCGAAGCCCAAGCGGGTACAGAAGGCAAGCGACAGGTTGGTGAGCTCCCGAAAGAAGCTGCGGAAGGAGGACGGGGTCAGGGCCAACGAGGCCTTGCTGAAACAGCTAAAACAGGTGACCCCTAGGAGCCAGTCCCCCAGTCCCATCCCAGGATAGGGGATGCCCTGTCCCCCAGCTGTGCAATGACAGAGATGCAAATGCTGCAGGTTTCTAATTTGGTTATCTTGTCTCTCCTAGGAGCTGTCGCTACTGCCTCTGACGGAACCTACCATCACTGCCAATTTTAGCCTCTTTGCACCCTTTGGCAGTGGCTGCCCAGTCAGTGGGCAGAGCCAGCTGAGGGGAGCCTTTGGAAGTGGGGCACTGCCTGCCAGCCCTGACTACTATTCCCAGCTGCTCACCAAGGTCAGAAAAATGGCGATACTTCTTAGTAATAATGAAGTTCTTGGGGGAGTGGGGGTGGGGATGGAAGACAGGAGGAAATTGCTGATGTAGTATGGGGCCAGGAGATTATACCAGTCTCCCTATGCCATCTTGCACACAACACCCACCCCACCCCTCAGAATAACCTGAGTAACCCGCCGACACCACCCTCGTCGCTGCCCCCCACCCCACCCCCATCGGTGCAGCAAAAGATGGTGAATGGCGTCACTCCTTCCGAAGAGCTGGGGGAGCACCCCAAGGACGCAGCCTCTGCCCGGGACACTGAAGGGGCACTGAGGGGTAAGTAAAGAACTGACTTCTCTTCCCCAGTGGAATTTAGTGGCTGGGGTCCATGCAGTTACCATGCCCTACCACACAGTGTCAGAAGCTAGTATGCTCCCCTGTGCGCTTATACCGCAGGCTGTCTGGGTGGGAAGGGCTTCTTTAGGACTGATTTTTTGGGGACAAGGATGGGCTTCTGGAGTGTGGAATGAAGGCAGTAGGAGAGTAGGTGACAGGAATCTGAGCAAAGCTGTGTGTAGAAGTCCAATTTTCAGAGCTACAGTCTAATCTAGATTTGAACTCTAGTACCTGGATGTATTTAGCTGTGTTACAGCCAAGTAATTTGATTGGCTGGTGTCCCTATGAATTGGGTTTTATAATATTTATCTAGTAGAATTGTTGAAAGATTTTTAAAGCATGTACTCCCTGATTGGGTGTAGTGGTGCATGACCGTAATCCTAACACTCAGAAGATGGAGGCAGAAGAATTGAGTTCAAGGCTAGTCTGGGCTATATAGCAAGACCCTGTTTTTAAGAAAAGAGAAAAAAAAAAAAAAGGGCCAGATACAGTGGTCCACATCTGTAATCCTAGCTACTTGAGAGGCAGAGATCAGGAGGATTGCACTTTGAGGTCAGCCCAGGCAAAATCTCAGAGGCTATTCTAAAAATAACTAAAACAAAAGGATTGGGGGGGTGTGGTAGAGCTTGAAGCCCTGAATTCAAATCCCAGTACCACTCCCCCCCAATACACACACAAACACACACAGGTATATCTAGCCAGGCACTGGTGGCTCCCACCTGTAGTCGTAGCTACTCAGGAGGCAGAAACCAGGAGGATCGAAGTTTGAAGCCAGCCCTGGGAAAATAGTGGTGAGACCCTATCTCAAGAAAATCCCATCACAAAAAAGGGCTGGTGGAGTGGCATAAGGTGTAGGCCCTGAGTTCAAACCCCAGTATTGCGAAACAAATAAACAAAAACACAAAAAAGGGCTGGGAGAGTGTTTGCCTAGCAAGCGGGAGGCTCTGAGTTCAAGCCCCAGCTGCCAAAAAAAAAATGTGCCTAAAGTCCAGTGTCTGGCACACAGAAAAGGCTCAATAAATATAGCTTGTCTACCCGTAACTAATGGGTGGATGGATGGTTAACATAATAGCTAAGCTATAATCTCATGCTAATTGAGCCTGAAATATTGGGGTAAAAAGTGCCATCTACTCTGGCCACCCTAACCCTGACTTCTTCTCTCTACCCACCCCTCAGATGCTTCAGAGGTGAAGAGTCTAGACCTGCTGGCTGCCTTGCCTACACCCCCTCACAATCAGACTGAGGATGTCAGGTGGGGGCGGGCCTGAAAATGGGCGGTAGGGAATAGGGTGGAGGAGAGGTGGCCTCATTTTCCCTTGACCAATGGCAGATTTCAAGTAAGGCTATGAAACCTACTAATCTCCAGATTTGGGAGGGAGAATCCACAGGGCTGTACCAACAGATGTCTGTTTGGCCCACAGGATGGAGAGTGATGAGGACAGTGATTCTCCTGACAGCATTGTGCCAGCTTCATCCCCTGAGAGCATCCTGGGGGAGGAGGCCCCTCGTTTTCCGCAGCTGGGCTCAGGCCGGTGGGAGCAGGATGACCGTGCCCTATCCCCGGTCATCCCTATCATTCCTCGGGCCAGCATCCCAGGTATGTGCAACTCTGGGAATGGACCAGGCCCAGGTTGGCTAGGTTGTCAGAATCGGGCAGGGGTGCGTGGTGGAGGGAAGCAGCTGAATCTACAAAAGTCCCTCTTTCTCATTCAGTCTTCCCAGATACCAAACCTTATGGGGCCCTTGACCTGGAGGTCTCTGGAAAGCTGCCTGCCACACCTTGGGAGAAGGGCAAAGGAAGTGAGGTGTCAGTTATGCTGACAGTCTCTGCTGCTGCAGCCAAGGTGTGTGTCCTGGGGGTTCCTTGAGGTCAAGGGGAAAGCAGTCCCTGCATCCTGTCTGGGTAAAAGAAATTCAGTCATTCAAAAATCTGCCCTGAGTTCTTAGTCTATGTGAAAGACTGGGCTAGAGGCTGTGGGGTCCAGGTAAATGAAGCCCGGTTCCTTTTCTCCATGGGCTCATCATCCAGAGGTAAAGATAGACAATTCAACAGAATGTGTGTCATTTGAAAATGCTACAAGACAGCTCCTTCTCAGTCACAGTTGGTGGAATACTGTCTGCTGGAGTGTTTTTTTGTTTTTGTTTTTGTTTTGTGGGGCTGGAGTTTGAATTCAGGGCTTTGAACTTGCAAAGCAGGTGCTCTACTGCTTGAGCCACACCTCCAGTCCATTTTTGCTCTAGTTAGTTTGGAGATGGGGGTCTTGAGGACTATTTGCCCAGGCTGACCTCAATCCTCCTCAATCTTAGCTTCTCAAGTAACTAGGATTGCAAGTGTGAGCCATCGGCACCTTGTTGCTTATTTTTGAACATTAGTGGGGTTTTTTATGGTGAAAGAAAATTGGAAAACCCAGTTAAAAACAACAGTACTGGTTTTTTGGTTTGGTTTGCTTTGGTTTTAACAACAAGACCCCTCAGGTCCTTAATTTTCAAACATGGGGTGAATCTCCAAGTTGTGGGTACAGTGGGCATCGTTTCCTTAACCCAGTTAAGGTCATTTCCTTTCCTGTGGAGCTCTTGTGTGTGCCTTGCTCTAAAACAGGTGTGTAAGAAGAGCTGGAGTGGCATGGGCAGCACTGACTGACCCCCTGGGCAATGGGCTTGAGGTGTCCTTGTCCATATCCAGCAGGTACTTAATCCAAACATTCTGCTGACATGTCTCTACCATTCCTTTGCTTGTCCTCACAGAACCTGAATGGTGTGATGGTGGCAGTGGCAGAACTACTCAGCATGAAGATCCCTAACTCTTACGAGGTTCTGTTTCCAGAGAGCCCTGCCCGGGCAGGCATTGAGCCTAAGAAAGGGGAAGCTGAGGAACCTGGTGAGTGGGGCAGGAAAGTGCCTTGGGATCAGAGGGGAAATGCTCCAGTGGGAGACTCTCACCTCTTCCTTCCTGTAGGTGGGAAAGAAAAAGGTTTAAGTGGGAAGAATCCAGACGCTGGCCCTGATTGGCTAAAGCAGTTCGATGCAGTGTTGCCTGGCTACACCCTCAAGAGCCAACTAGACATCTTGAGCCTCCTTAAACAGGTAGGTCTGGGAGAGGAAAAGGGCAGTGTCGGCGGTGGGGAAAAAGGTGCTGCCTAGGGCAAGGAAGGTATGGGACTTTGAGGGCATAGAATCTGGTGGAGAAGAGGGGAGGACTAGATAGTTGGGGAACTGGCACTAATGATCCAGGGTACCTCCCATAGGAGAGCCCCGCACCAGAGCCATCCATCCAGCACAGCTACACCTACAATGTCTCCAATCTGGATGTGCGACAGCTCTCGGCCCCACCTCCTGAAGAACCCTCTCCACCTCCGTCCCCCTTGGCACCCTCTCCTGCTAGCCCCCCTGCTGAGCCCCTGGTTGAACTTCAGGCTGAACCCTCTGCTGAGCCACCAATCCCCTCACCCCTGCCACTGGCCTCATCCCCTGAATCCAACCGGCCCAAGCCCCGAGCCCGGCCCCCTGAAGAAGGTGAAGATTCCCGCCCTCCTCGTCTCAAGAAATGGAAAGGGGTGCGCTGGAAGCGGCTGCGGCTTCTGCTGACCATTCAGAAGGGCAGTGGGAGACAAGAGGATGAGCGGGAGGTAGCAGAGTTTATGGAACAGCTTGGCACGGCTTTGCGACCTGACAAGGTGCCTCGAGACATGCGGCGCTGCTGCTTCTGTCATGAAGAGGGTGACGGGGCCACTGATGGGCCCGCCCGCCTGCTGAACCTGGACCTGGACCTGTGGGTGCACCTCAATTGTGCCTTGTGGTCCACGGAGGTGTATGAGACACAGGGTGGGGCTTTGATGAATGTGGAGGTTGCCCTGCACCGAGGACTGCTAACCAAGTGCTCCCTATGCCAGCGAACTGGTGCCACCAGCAGCTGCAATCGCATGCGTTGCCCCAATGTCTACCATTTTGTCTGTGCCATCCGCGCCAAGTGCATGTTCTTCAAGGACAAGACTATGTTGTGTCCGATGCATAAGATCAAGGGGCCTTGTGAGCAGGAGCTGAGCTCATTTGCTGTCTTCCGGAGGGTCTACATTGAGAGAGATGAGGTGAAGCAGATCGCCAGTATCATCCAGAGGGGAGAGCGACTACACATGTTTCGTGTGGGGGGCCTTGTGTTCCATGCAATTGGACAGCTGCTCCCTCATCAGATGGCCGACTTCCATAGTGCCACTGCCCTCTATCCTGTGGGCTATGAAGCCACCCGCATCTATTGGAGCCTTCGTACCAACAATCGCCGCTGCTGCTACCGCTGCTCCATTGGGGAGAATAATGGGCGGCCGGAGTTTGTAATCAAAGTCATGGAGCAGGGCCTGGAGGATCTGGTCTTCACCGATGCCTCTCCCCAGGGTGAGCACTGGGCCCTTGAAACGGTAACATGGAATTGGGCAAGTTTCTCCCAGAAGTCACTTTACCGTGTCAGTAAGATGGTCTGCAACCTCCATATGAGTGATGCGCCCCCAACTCATCTCCAGAGAGGAGAAGTTTTCAGCCTATCTCAGTCACTTTAAGTTCCTTTGTAACTGAAAGTGCTTTGCTTGTCTAGTTGCACATTTTTTAGCTGTTTTTTCCTATCCTTAGTGGATTAAATGACTCAGTTTTGACACCCTATCATCTGGTGCACCCAATCTGATCCTAAGCTCCTCATGTTTGTTTTTCCCTGTATAAAAACCTTTTTTATTTATTTATTTTTTGTTTTTGTGCTGCTTGGGATCAAACCCAGTGCCTAGCACATGCGCCATAAGCACTCCACGATTGAGCTATACCCCAGCCCTTTTATCATAATTTTTCTGTTAATCATAAAATAGCAAGACCATGCACCTTTTATTGAGCATATACTATATGCCACAAGCTAAATTAAGTGGCTTATATAGATTATTTTGTTTATGTAACTCTATGAGGTAAGTACTATGATTGTATCCAATCTATACATAAAAAAGCCAAGTCTTGCAGAGAGATTTAACTATTTGGCTCAGGTCCCAAATAGAACCTGAACCCAAGTTTTTCCAACTCCAAAGCATACCTGTTCTTTCAGTAGAACCATGGTTTCTTTTGGGTCTCTAGGACTTTGATTTGTGTTTCTGTGTCATAGGCTCTATGAGACCCTTCCAAAATTGAAGCCTTCTGGGACTAAGAGGCCCTGGGAGTATGGGGGGTAGGGTGGGGGGGTGGTTCCTGGAGGTTCATATAACGCTAAGTCAGGAAGGTGTAAACCTTAGTGCTGATTGCTCCTGCCTATAATCCTTGCTACTCAGAAGGCAGAGATGAGGAGGACCACAGCCAATAGTTTGCAAACTCCTATCTCAAATACAAAAAAAGGGCTGGTGAGTGGCTCAAGTGGTAGAGTACCTGCCTAGCAAGTGTGAGGCCCTGAGTTTAAACCTCAGTACCACCAACAAAAAAACAAAAACAAAAAAACTACAGCTCAGGAATGGGGTTAGGGGCTCGAGGCCAGTGAGCAGAGATTGCCTCTGAGAGTTGCTCTCTTTCCCTACCTTCTAGCTGTGTGGAATCGCATTATTGAGCCTGTGGCTGCCATGAGGAAAGAGGCTGACATGCTGAGGCTCTTCCCTGAGTACCTGAAAGGCGAGGAGCTCTTTGGGCTGACAGTGCATGCTGTGCTTCGAATAGCTGAATCAGTAAGCAAGGGGCCAGGAGCTGGGGGGCTAGGTGGCTAGGTGGACAATGGGAGTTTTGGCTCTGCCCCAAGGAGCTCAGGCTAAGGCAATCCTGTGTCCACAGCTGCCTGGGGTGGAGAGCTGTCAAAACTATTTATTCCGCTATGGGCGCCACCCCCTGATGGAGCTGCCACTCATGATCAACCCTACTGGCTGTGCCCGATCAGAGCCTAAAATCCTCACACACTACAAACGGTGAGCTTGAGGGGCTGGGGCCACAGGCTGAGTGGGTGTGGGTGTTGGTAGGGATCTTCTGGCCACATTGTGAGGGTTTGGGATGCAGATCAGAGTTTCCTCAGAGAAACCAGGGGTTCACTCTTAGACCCAGTTAGAGAGTACACAGGTATCACTAGGGTATCCCTTTCCTCCTCCCAAATCTGCTCAGGTATACTGGGTTGAGTCGGGGTATAGGACAGAGTTCTCTTGGGTGCTCTGGGAATGGCTGCTGGGGAGGTTGTTGGTAGACAATGGTGAAATTTTATGAGCTATATAAGGGACCTGGTCACTTCTTCCTTCTCCAGTTTTGCTTCCAGAGGCCTGTGATTCTCCTAATCCACAGATACCCCATGAGTGCTAGGGTCACCTTCCCTTCCCAAGGCTGAGTTGGTGTTAGAAATAAATTAGAAATATAATAGAAAAATAATAAAACCTTACATTTGTATAGCACTTTATACTTTTTTTTTCAAAGCGTTTTCACATCCATTATCTCATTTGATCCTCACAACAACCTTATGAGGTAGGTAGGGCAGGTGGTATGACCCCCATTTCACAGCTGAGAAAACTAAGGTCCAGAAAGACTACCTGACTAGATAAACGTCACACAGCTGGGACCAGACCCTTATCTCTTGACTTGTGGGTCACTGTTCTTTCTGTGTTCCACGGTAGCCTGACCTTGGTCCTTGGGTAGAGGGAGGCAGAATCCGTGGTAGCAGGGCTTTCTTGAAGGCGTTTGGTGTCTCCTAGACTGTCGTAGAGCGTCAGAGACTCTACCCTTAGTCAGCCCTAGTCCTTGATGCTCTACAACAGTGGTTTTCAAACTATGAGTGTCCAAAAGTCCTGGAGCACATAAACTGATGGGCAGAACTTGGCCCTTCCCGTGTGTAACTCAACCTTCTCCAAATTGAATTCAACCAGGAGAGCTCCATTTTCACCTAGTTTATAGATTGGAGTTCCAGTCAACATTTTGATAAAGAAAAAAAAAATCGGCTAAATAAAAACAAAACAAAACAAAAAAAATGTTTGAAAACCACTGCTCTGGGATGGGCAAGAATTTGGCTGGTGCCCTAGGGTGGTGAAAAGGCATATCAGCAAGCAATGGTCATTCCCCTGCACTGAGCCATTTGCACAGAGCCCGATGCTGTTAGAGAATGGGACTGTCTGAAGAAAGGCAAGGATACTACCTTTAGGCTGCAAATTCACAGCTCATTTTAATTCAAATCCAGCCACTTTGGTAGAGACTGCCTCCATTTTCAGGGCTTACAGCATGGGCAGGAGGTAGGATCAGACATTTTAAGCAAACCATCAGCTTAAATTCAAGGCCTGGGCTACTTGAGGAAGACTTGGCCTTGTGTATGGTTTGGCAGGAGGGTGGTAGAAAGCAAGGAATGGGAGAACAGGCTCAGTGTAGGGGAATTGGTATCCCCCTCTCCCTCCATACCCACCTCCTCTCCTGGGCTGACTCTGCCACCCAGGGTGTCAGAGGGCCCCGGTAACTGTCACTGCCTCTCCAGAGCTGAGACGCAGATGCCTCCTCTCTATTCCCAAGGCAGCACTTCCCGTGCTTGCTGACAGCACACCCTATCTAGCGTGTTGTATTCCCAGGGAGGAGGTGGGTGGTGTGTGTTTGGTCTGTCTTGTCATGGACTCTATCACCTCCCAGGCCCCATACCTTGAACAGCACCAGCATGTCTAAGGCATATCAGAGCACCTTCACAGGCGAGACCAACACCCCATACAGCAAGCAGTTTGTGCACTCCAAGTCATCTCAGTACCGGCGCCTGCGCACTGAGTGGAAGAACAACGTTTATCTAGCTCGCTCCCGAATCCAGGGCCTGGGGCTCTATGCAGCCAAGGACCTAGAAAAGCACACAATGGTCATCGAGTACATTGGCACCATTATTCGCAATGAGGTGGCAAACCGTAGGGAGAAAATCTATGAGGAGCAGGTATGGGCTGCTTAAGGGGCTGTTGAGGTGCATGGTCCACACACAGGCAAGAGGCAGGGGCAGGTTTGGGTTCAGGAGGGCAGTCAGAAAGCTGTACAGGGAAGGGGGAGGCAGGAGGAATGAAGGATGTGCCAGATAAGACCACTGTCTGAGTGTGCTACCTGATAATCTTACCCCTCTTTCTACAACCTCTGCCTTTCTAGAATCGAGGCATCTACATGTTCCGAATAAACAATGAACATGTGATTGATGCTACATTGACTGGAGGCCCTGCCAGGTGAGAGAGGAAGGAGGGATTTAGGCATCCCTGAGGGTGGCTCTCTGGGCATAGGCCAGCAAGGAACCAAAATTGTCTCTACTCAGTTGCCTGGCATCGCTGACTCTGTCCCACTGCCCAGGTACATTAATCATTCCTGTGCCCCTAACTGTGTGGCGGAAGTTGTGACATTTGACAAAGAGGACAAAATCATCATCATCTCCAGCCGGCGAATCCCCAAAGGAGAAGAGGTGAGAGGAAATAACCTCCTCCTTTGCCATCCCTAAGAGCTGGGTTCCAAGGCCACTGCCCTCAGATCGCATCTCAGCCCCCACCCCCTTCCTCTGGAAACAAACCTTGATTCCGCCCTCTTTTCTTCCAGCTGACCTATGACTATCAGTTTGATTTTGAGGACGATCAGCACAAGATCCCCTGTCACTGTGGAGCCTGGAATTGTCGGAAATGGATGAACTAAGAAGCTTTGAGGCTACCAGGCAGGGGAGTCCCCCCACCCCCAACCTCTTCCCTGAAAGGGATGAGGGGGAAGAGAGGTAGCAGCCAGAGCCAGGATCCAGGGCAGGGGCTGCCGGCTGACCGGAGCCCCTGGAGCAGGAGGCTGGGGCAGAGGGCCCTAGGCCAAACTCACCCTGGGCACCAGGGACAACCCTCTTCCCCACCACCGGCCCTCAGGCTGGCATCTCTGCCCCCAGCTCTGGGAGGGGACAGATAGAAGCAGCCATTGGGCATCTCAGGTTTGAGGGGGATATGGGCCGGGAACTACCCAGAAGCATCTGGGAGGCAGCAGGGAGGGGAGAGGAGGATGTGTGGCCGGGCCTCACAGCCCTGCTGCTCCCACCGACCTCTCCGGCCCAACTCAAGGCTGCAAAGAGACTTGACTAAGCTTGACAATCCCAAAGGCCGGGTCCCACACCTGGCCCTGCCTGCCGGGTCCTGCCCCCACCCTCACCCCCCATATCCTTCCCTCTTGATCTGTCTCTGTCTCCCTCTTCTCCTCTGTGTTTCTGTCTATCTATGGGTTGTGTTTCCTTGTTTTCCACTCTGACAAATGCAACATGAACGGGAAAGAGGCGTCCACCTGCCCAGGAGGGCAAGCTGGGCAAGCCGGGCAAGGAGACCCCGCACCCACACCTACCTCATTTAAGTGTTGGATTTTTTGCTGTTTTGAAATGTGAGACCCTCTCCAAGCCCCCTACTGCCCCAACCCTCTCCCCCACCTCACTGCCCTCTTCTGAGTGGGTGGAAGGGGGGGGTAGGAGGAGGAAGAAAAAAAAACAACAACAAAAAATCCATCTTTGTTTTTAATTATGGGCATGGGATGGTGGTTGAGGCAAATGGTGATGAAGATTGGGGATGACTGGCTCCTAGTTGCTCTAGGACTTCCTTCTCCATCTGGACATGGGGGCAGGAGGGGTGTGCTAAACTTAGGACCAGGATCTCTCTCCCCTGTTTTCCCAACCTCATCATGAGCCCATTTGCCCTCCAGCCCCTGGATGGGGTGGGTGGGGGGTAGGGTGAGGGCTATCCCTGAGTGGCATGCCCATACCCAGTGAGGCAGGGTGTGGCCCAGAGCTCCCACTTTCCCTCAGTCACCAAACTGCTGCTGGTCTGGTGGGAAGGGGTGGTGATGTGGGGGTGGGGAGCTAGTGTCAGCGCGGGGAGGGTGGGGGGTATTTATCTATTTATACATGGGATTGTACATAGTCTTGTGGGGCATGGGGGAGCCGGCTGGAGGTGAGAACCCTCCCCTCTCCCCCCACCCCCGGGGAGAGCAAATGTAAAACTACTAATTTTTGTGCTTTATATATTCTATATAAATATATCTATTTTCTTTTTACAAAACCAGTTTATAAATGGTAGGGGGGTGTGGGGCGGACACATGGAGCTCCCCTTGTGGGGGGGCCCCTCCATTACCCAACCTACCGCCCTTTCCCTCACCCCTCCCCACTCCCCACCCCTGGCTGTGACTGCTGTAAGGTGGGGGTATAGAGAGAGGCTGGGTAATTCCCACCCCGTTGTATAGTTGGACTATGTTATAACGCACAAAAGTGAGCTGGCCCCAGGGGGAGCCAGAGGGTGATGGGTTCCCTACCTTCCTTTCCTTCCCCTTTCTGCCCATGCTTGTGCTGCAGTTGAACCTCTTCCTGGGGGTGGGGATAGATAGAGGGTGGGTGAGGCCCCAGACCCCTCTCTGGTAGGGAGACATGGGGATGAAGATGAAGCTTATATACATACAGTTCTCTTCTAGGGGCTGTGGGCAAGAGCATTTTGTAATATTTTCAAGAATCAGATGTCTGGAGTGTAGGGGTGGGCTTGGTGGTGGCAGTTGGGCAGGCCTACTGGAGGGGGAGCATGGTCGCTGTTGTGATTTTAGGTTTGTTTTTATTTTGTTTTGAATTTGAGGGGTTGTGGATTGATGGGGGTAGGGAGATTTCTTTTCCTTTCAGTTTTTTTTTTTAAACTGCTTCCTCAACTGTTTCAAGCTGCAAATGTTAAGAGAATAACACCCCCACTCCCACAGGAACCACTGTAATTAGATCAGACAGTGGGGAGACTGGGCTGCTGTCCCCCAAAGCCACAGAGCAGAAAGGTCTAGGATACAGGGAGAGGAAGATTGGCTCCTGTGAGTCAGGCTTTGGTTGGGGCTTGGGCCCTGGGATTGGGAAAAGGAGATAGGGCAAACTTTGTAAGCATATGCTAGGTATCCGATAGTCCTGTAGAATTTAGTGACGAGACCTTATACAGTTTTTAATTTTTATATAAACTATAACTCAAACCCAAGCTACAAGGTTGGAATTTTGGTTGTTGGTTTTTTTTTTTTTTTTTTTTTTTTTTTTAAAGTACCCTGCCTGTATAATTGCATCAGAATTCCTTCCTCCCCCTCCCCACCCCCCCGTGTTTGTATTTTGGGTTGGTTTACACTTGCACATATTCAATTTTCAGTTTTCACCCTTTACAGTCTTCTACCCTCACCTCCAGGACCCTCCCCCTTTTTAAAAAAAATAAATCGCTGACAAGTGTGAATCCCGTGAAGACTTTATTTTGTGTTGTGTGTATCCTGTACAGCAAGGTTGGTCCTTCGTAACAACGGATGAAATGGTTCCCTTTTTTAAAGCGCCCTCTCTTCCTCCAACCCCAGCGCCTGTTCTTGGCATGTTTTGTATCAGCGATCATTCTGAAATGTACATAATTTATGTTGCGAGAGGCAAAGGGCAAGTTTTGGATTTTGCTTCTTCCAAGTTTGTTTTTAAACGACAAATAAAAAAAAGAACATTTTAAATACAAGCGGCTCCGTCCCGTGACCCTCGCCGTCAGCGGGATCCGTGACATCCGCCGGGACTCGCTGTAGGGGGAGGGGGCATGTTATCCTGGCCCGGCGCCGCCGGAAGGGTGGGTTCTCCGCCTTCCGCCTCGGGCCTGTGTCTGCTGTGACTTAAGCGGAAGTGGCGTCGGGGCACCGGACATGGGCGGGGCCTGCTCCAAGCGAGCTTCCTAAAGCGAAGAACCAAGCCGGCGCCTCTTGCGATGGAGACGGTGAGGAGCGCAGGAGGGCGGCGGGGGGCGCTGTAGAGCCTGAGACCCCGTTAGGAGACAGGAGCACTGGGCAGGGGCTGGCGCTGACGACTAGCAAGGCAGGAGAAGCCTGGTATCTGTGCTGGAGCGTAGCTCTACCCCTCCGCTCCTTCACTGGGCACATCTAGGACAGGGCCACTCGTGCCTGCCTTGCGTCCACGGTACCCTCGGCTCCAGCGGGCAGTGACTCCTGGCTCCCTCCTTGGAGCCCATGTACACCACGGCCATTTCGGGCCTTCCAGCCTCTTAGCTAGCACCTCAAGCCCTTCCAGAAGTTTGCATGAGAGAGCAAGGTTGTGATCGGTTTACTGGGTGAGGGACCCCACTTGCAGGTAGCTCTTGGACCCTGGTTGTGATTCCTGTAATTCCTGGCAGGAAGAACATCTGAAAAACTTTTATACTGCATCAGCGAGGTTGCATTCCTTTAATAAGACCAAGAACTGAGGTTTCCGTGAAGGAAGCAATGTTTCATTGTTAGAGACCTGTGTCCCTAAGTTTAGATCGTGTCCTGCTCTGCGACTGTAAGCAGGCGTGTGACAGCTCATTCTTGGCCAGCAGGCACTGACCAGTGATGACAGGTCTCTGTGTACCCTCCTACACATGCTGTAGGTTGCTTGCTACATGTTTGAACCCACCTTACAAAAGCCTTTCTCCAATACTCTGGAGCCCCTCCCATTACTTCCTGCTCCATAGTCTTTAACCATGTATCTATATAGCCTCTGTCAGGCGTCTTAGTTTTTATCATCTTCTACGTTGTAGTTCTGTAAGGACTGCAGGTTTACTTTTTTTTAGATCAGTTAGTTACAGGCCAAGAGTAATTCTTTATCACACCCTTTCTCTGCCTGCAGAGAGGTAGTGTCCCTTAGGTAATAAAGAAACACACGAAAGTGCTAAAGTGATGTGTGATTGGTCACCCAGGCAAGGAGTCCGTTCCTTTCTACACAGTAAGAACATTTTGAGCAATAATCTGATTCCATTAAATTCAAATAATTTTATTTTTTATTTACTTGTAAATGTATTATGGTTTACAAAGCATTTTTATACAGATTTTATAATGTAGCCTTCATGGTTTATGTACTGGATTGGGTTCTGGAATAGAATTTTATTTATTGGCGGTAGTAGGGTTAGAATTCAGGTCTTGCACTTGCTAGACAGGCACTACACGGCTATGCTATGCCACCAGTTCATTTTGTTTTTTGATTAGGGTCCTGCATTTATGCTGGGATGGGTCTTGACTGCCCTCTTGCTGTTTATATGTACTGGGTAGCTGAAATGACAGGCGCGAAGCAGGACACCCTTCTATTGTTTTGAGATGGGAGTCTTAGGAACTTTTGCCTGGCTGGCCTGGAACCTTGATTCTCCTCAATCTCCATTGCCCAGTAGCCAGCATTACAGGCATGAACTGCATCCAGCCCAGAAATTGATTTTTACAAAAACTTTTAGAGGGCTAGGCCTGGTGCCAGTGGCTCACCCCTGTAATCCTAGCTACTCAGGAGGTAGAGATCAGGAGGATCTAGGTTTGAAGCCAGCCCGGGCAAATAGTTTGAGAGACCCTATCTCGAAAATACCTAACACAAAAAAGGGCTGGCAGAGTGGCTCAAGGTGAAGGCCCTGAGTTTCAAGCCCCATTACTGAAAAACAAACAAACAAAAAAAGCTGGGGACCTGGCTCAAATGGTAGAGCTGCTGCCTAGCAATCACGAGGTCCTGAGTTCAACTCCCAGTATCAAAAAGTGATAATAATGATGATAATTTAAAATTTTAAAAAGAAATAAAGATAGAAAAAGAAAACTCCTACATTGAAAATGCTTAGCTTAACTGGTGTGGGGGTGAGAGCAAGCCAGTGGGGTGTTGCTTAAGGTAGACTATAACAAGTGCTGTCATCAAGATGCATCAAGTGCTGAAATCACATAGAAGGGAGAAATCACAGTGGATCAGGGGAGGAAAGATGGAGCAAAGGCATAGAAATGGGGTATCAGAATAATTGGGGGTGAGCCTGTGATTGATGTTGCTGGAACTTTTGATTTTGGTCACAGTGTGAGAAAATACTATAAAGGTAAACTGAGACCAGGTTGGAGATTTGGTAAACTATGCTATGTTTGAACTTTATTTTATAATAAAGGGACCCCAGACAATTTGTGAGCAAGGTAGTGAATGTTCTTTGGTACTGTTTTCTTTTTGGAAGAGTGTGGGGTTGTGGGTGAGACACAGGGTCTGTGTAGCCCAGGCTGACCTGGAATTTACACTCCTGCCATAGCTTCCTGAGTGATGGTTTGGGAATGTTCTTAACCACTTTTTGTATATGGACTGAACCACTTCAGAAATTAACAAGTTTCAGGGTGCTAGAGATGAAAATCTCTTCTAAACTGGAGATGCTTTGGTGAGAGAACTTGTTAAAAGGACAAAAATGAATTGAAGAGAGAGAGATTTGGAGCAAGATCACTTTAGAGAATGTTGTAGACATGAGAAGTAAACGCCTAAGTCAAGGGTATAAAAATGGAAAGAAACTAGAGGTGTGGTTCAAGCAGTAGAACACTTGCTTTGCCAGCACAAAGTCCTGAGTTCAAACCTCCTTCCCATCCCCCCCCCAAAAAAAAGGTGAAAAGGAGAGATGGGGCTGAGGCATTTCTATCATATCAGCTCAGCACCTCCAGCCCTACATGTATCAGCTACAGTTCTAGGCACTGGGAACATGGCAACGCAAAAAACAAAAACAGAGATGGGAATTGCAGTAAGAATAATAGATTTGAAAGGACCAATATTTTGTTTGTATTGAGCCATTTTTAAGCATGTCTGTGACATCTGTGGTTGTCAATTAGAAATGTGGGATCAGGGGTTTGGAAGAAATTATGTCTGTCGGATCTGGCCTATATCTCTGTATAATAATATAGGTACTTGGGTAATACAGAGATACTTTTTCAGTTCCCTGTGTTATTAAAAGTAGAGAGAGACAGATACTGGTGGCTCACACCTGTAATCTTAGCTACTTGGGAGGCTGAAATTGGGAGAATCAAGGTTTGAGGCCAGCCCAGGCAAATAGAGACCTCATTTCCAAAAAAAAAAAAAAAAAAAACCAGAGAAAAATGGACTGGAGGGTGTGGTTCAAGCAGCAGAGCACCTTCTGCTTTTGAGCATGAAGCCCTGAGTTCAAACCCTAGTCCCACCCTACCCCATCCCCAGTTAAAAAAAAGTAGAGTGGCGTGGATGTTAATTCCTACACTTATGTGGAGAAACAGGCAGAAAGATAAAGTTACATATTCAATTGTGACTCTTATGTTGATGTCTGTATCTCTGTTTAGCTATATGTCTCTTTTTCTTTCTTTAGCTTAGTCTTAGTTCTCTCTGTTCGTAACAGTGTGCATTATTATTAGAGAACTGAAAAAGAAAATAATTGTGAATATATACATGCTAGGTGGTGGAAGATACAAAGTATAAGGTAGTTGTAGGCTTCCAAGAACTTGCAATCTGCTTGGGAAGATAATGAAAAAATAACTGTAGCACAGTATATCATGTAAGTATCACATGATGGGTATCATAATTTCCAGAAGTAACTGTTTGTATGTAGATCTTTGTGTGAAACCGTGGTATATCTTACTTATCTTTACTGCAGAATAGCCCCCTCTCTGATTTTAAGTGATGACACTGTTTTTCCAATAGCCTAGCCAAAAATGCCAGGCAAAGCTGATAGTCTTGTATAGCCCAGAGAGATTCTCTCCTCCCCCCCCCAAACCCTCCCCCAGCAGCCCCACACACTGGGGGAGGGGAGCTTAGGGCTGCCCTGCCAACTTGACTGGTTGGCAGCCAGCTTCCCAGGCTCAGGCCAAGGCTTTAACTTCATGTTACTGCAGAAGCTATGAAGGTGAAGTATGACTTTAAGATGGTTTGGGGATATTACCCAGAACAAATAAAGCCAAAACTACTGATGCCAATGGGTGAAAATTTTCACAATCTCTTCTGCGTTCCTAGATAACCATGAAATTTTCAGATGTTCCCACTTGAGGGAGCCCAGATGGTTCTGATGGTTTCTCTGTGTTAAAGGCAGTCTCTCATCTTAGACTGTCTTGGGAAAGGAAACTTAAAAACTAAGCATCTCCCTTTTTCTTTTTTTTGGTGGTACTGGCGTTTAAACCAGGGCCTTGTGCTTGCTAGACAAGTCCCCCACCACTTGAGCCATGCCCCCAGCCCAAATGGAAATTATTTTTGGGAGTCTATACAGGGGTTTGAACTGATGGCTTAGCATTTGCTAGACAGGTGTTCTATTGCTTGAGCTGCACCCCAGCAACTCCTTTAATTCACAAGGGTGCTAAGAGGACTCACTCGTGGTTTCAGAATATTCACACTCCTCATCTTTTCCTCAGTCATCCATCCAAGCTTTGACTGTCTAGCTGACAGCTCCTGGGATCTCTCCAGATGTAGCCTTCTCTCAGTGGCAGAGTATATCCATGATTCTAGTACCCATAGCTATGGTGTTTGGGAGTAAGCAATGTGATTTCTCTCGCATCCATATGTGATGTTTCCTTTGTTGTCATTTTGTTTTTGAGACAGGATTTCTCTCTATATGGCAGGCTTGCGTCAAATTCACTATTAGCCCACATTGGCCTCAAACTTGCAGTCCTTCTGCCTCAGCTTCCCTCAACTGGGATTACAGGTATATGTCACCATACTCAACTAATGGCTGTTTTGATAAAGTAGAGCTGTAAAAATCTTGTGGGGCCACCCCTAAGCTCAGATTTTTTAGTTTATCTTTGTTTTGTTTATGGTGCTGGGGATTGAATGCAGGGCCTTGTGCATGCTAGGCAAGCACTCTGCCACTGAGCTTCATCCCCAGCCCCAGGCTTAGCTCTTAAGACGTAATGCTTCATTAGGCAGTGTGGCACAAAAGAACATGAGCTTTGGAACCAGACAGATATGTATTCAAATTCCTATTTCACCCCTTACCAACCATGTGACCTTGGGCAGTTTGCTTAATATCTCTTGACTCTCAGTTTCCTACTCTGTGAAATTAGACTAACAATAGTACTTAGTTCCGGTTGTTACGAACATTAAATAAGATAATATTTCTGAAGACCCTTGCACTGTTTTAAAGGAAGTCATTAGTTCACCAGTCCTTTTTCCTACTGTTGCTATATTAAAATGGATGGAACTTAGATTAAACTGAATCTATCTTTCTCTTTATCTTTCCAGGTCACTTCAGATAGCTCCCCAGCTCTGGAAAATGAGCATCCTCAAGGTAAGTTTCACTTGAGGTAAATTGAGGAAAGGAAACTGAGCATAAAAACAATAAATAGCCTGATCCTAACTTGTCTTTAGCAATGCTTCTGAATTTTCTAGGGTTCTCCTCGGGAAAATCAAAGCTGGGCCAGATAATATGTCAAACACACACACAAATTAAGAACAGTAGTTTGACAAGATCATCCAGAAATCAATCTTGAACAGAGTGGTGGTAGTAACATCTTCAATTATTAAACTACTTGGGAGAAATGTTTGAGGTACAGAAAAACTTGCATAGACATCTCTGCAGGGCTCGGAGATGTGGCTCAAGTGATAGCACGACTGCCTAGCACAGGCAACTCTGGGCTGGCTAGCCATGCTCTTGACGTCCCTGGCATTTTCTCAGTACCCAGAAACTGCTACTTGGGTTTCATCATACAGCAAGCTCACTAAAGCCACAAGAAATGCACACAAGACATTATGAAATGGCTGAAGGCCCTGAGAACTCATCTGGAAATAGACTCACTAAACCTCTAAAATCCAGGTACTAGAAAAGACAGTTCTAATACCTGCCCAAATACATGTTTAGAATGGGACAGGCCAAACCTAGACCATCAAGAAAAAGGCAGAATTGACAGGTACTCTTACCACTTGCGCCATTCCACTGCCTTTTTCTTTTTTTTTTTTAATTGTGCTTAGAGAGGGCACATCGTGGCATTTACAAAAGTTCTTACAATACATCAAATATATCATACTTGATTTCACCTTCTCTATACTCTCCTTTATCCCCACCTCCAACCAGCCCTTTTTTGTGATTTTTTTTTTTTTTTTTTTGAGATAGGGTCTCATGAACTATTTGCCCAGAACTGGCTTCAAACCTCGATCCTCCTGATCGCTCCCTCCTGAGTAGCTAGGATTACAGGTGTGAGTCACCAGTGCTGGGCTTTAACAGGCATCTCTAGTAAAGGACTTTTCCCAGAAACAGTCCTAAGTCTTTCTAAGACATGTTTATAGCATTAGGGTTATATATCTTCCCAGAAGATTATAATAGGCACTGAATATAAATTCCAACAGATAGAATGTCAGCAATTTAGAACATATTATTAGGGGTATATAAGTTGTTTTTTTAAATTTAATTTTGTTTTTGCATTAGCATATATTAATAATGTGAGGGGATTTCATAGATATTGACAAGATTTAAAAATTTTTGCTGGGAGTGATAGTGCATTTCTGTAATCCGAGAACTCAGGAGTCTGAGGAAGGAGGATGGAAAGTTCAAAGCCAGCCTGGGCTAAATAACAAGTTGATGCTAACCTGAGCTTCATAATGAGACCCTGTCTTAAAATATAAAATAAAATTAAATAAAATTACTATAGTCATTTTTGGATTATCCACATAGCTTCATATCTGAATACCATCACATGGTATTTTGTATTTCTGAGTATATTTGCATTAGTACCAAGGCAGAAGTTAGAAACTCAGTTATCTACATGGACCAAGTAGTGAATTGAACTAGATTTGACAGTGATCACCTGTAGATCTTGTGTCACATTCAAAAGGAATTAGCAACTATCCATGACTGGTCAATTAAGATCTATTTTTGCCAGATCCTCTGATTTTGAAAAGAAACTAGGAATTTGGGTTTTTATGTGAATCTGTAGATTTTTTTAACTTGGCAACTGATTTAAATTATTTTTAAAACACTGGGAAATCCAGATTCAGTATGTGTGTGGGCCTGTAGCCTAAAATGATAGTATTTAATTCTCAATATAGTGTATCTCCAGCTAGTATCTAAAGATATGTCTTGAGTGTCTGTGAGTTCTCATGTTTGAAAAACAGTGGAAGGCTTCCAGTTAAAGATGGGAGACTAAATGTATACATCCACCTTTGTTCCTTCACAAAGACTCTAAAACCACCATAAAGAAATTTGAAAAAAAAAAAAAAGTATAAAACCACCTGAATAGGGAGAACAAGAGAGAAGACCATAGCAATTGGAAGCCAGAAAGCAGATGAAAGAATGTTGAATGACTTAGCTGATCTGAAAAAACTTAATTATAACTAGCAGTAAGGAAAGTCAAGAAGCACTAAAAGTCTAAGAAACAAACAGATCTTGAGACTGTACTAATTGGGCAACTGCCCTCCCCACTCTGGCAAAGACTGGGGGTCTGGAGAGGTACTTAGATACATCTGAGGGCTGAGGTACTATGGTGAAAACAGGAGCCTCAGAATGAAGTATTCTGGATTCTGACCCTCCAGCCTTCTTCCCCCCATTCACCTTCCAGAATGGAAAAGACTTTACCTTTCAAGCTCAAAACTGAGTAATTCTGGGTTGGAGGAGTGGCTCAATGTGGTAGAGCACCTGCCTAGCAAGCATGAGGCCCAGAGTTCAAACCTCAGTAGTGACAAAAAAAAAAAACAAAAAAAAAAAACTGAATAATTCTTCACTTCAGAATTCCTTTGAAAGGAAAACCGTAAAATATGTAAGTGTTGAATGTTCTCTATCTTCCTATGTAAATGGCTCACAGTTAACAAGGCTCACTTACACACTTAGAGCTTCCAGTCAGCTTTCAAGCCTTCCCTCTTAAGATATGACAAACCAAAAAACAATAAAAAGATATCTGAATCCTCCTCTAAACCAAGAATTACCAAACATCTAAAGAAAGTAGAAAAAAGTGATCCACATTGTCCCCATTCCACATATACCAAAAGGAAAGAGAAGCAAAAACAATGCAGACACAAACAGAAGAAAAAGCAACTAGGGGAAAAGTCAATGCACAGAGGAAAAAACCTTAATAATAACATTAGGGCTGGGGATCATGACCTAAGCAGTAGAGCGCCTGCCTAGCAAGTACAAGGCCCTGAGTTCAAACCCCAGTACCACCAATAATAGTAACAATAACATTAAATATATACTTAGGTTAAAAGAGCTTATTTCCACCAGAAAACAAGTACAAGAAATAACTGTTTTAAAAAAGGAGTGTTCCAAAACCAAAAAGGAGCTCTTGGAAATTAAATATATAATAGCAAAAATGTGAACCCAGTAGGGAATTTAGAAAGTCAAGTCAATGTGAAAGAATTCTCCCAGAAAGTAGAGTTAAACATCAAAGAAGCAGAAAGTAGAAAAGGTTGTTTTTTGTTAACAGTTGGGGTTTTTGGTTTATTTGCTTGTTTGTTGCTTGATTTTTTGCAACTGTGGTTGGCTGTGGTTGGGATTAAACCCAGGATTTTGGGCATGCCAAGCAAGCATACTACAACTGAGCTAACATCACCAGTCCAGAAAAGATATTTTTAAAAAATAAGCCACAGAAACAAACAAAAATCCAAACAAACCTGAAAGGACCAATCCCCAGGTCCAGTATCTCAATAATAGGAGTTATAGAAAGAAAAATGACAACACAGAAAGGAAATAAGGCAAAAATTCAAGAACATTTCCTTGAACTGAAAGACATTAGTTTTCATTATTGAAAGAATCCACTTGAATATTCACAACAGATGAAACTTACCAACCCAAAACACAATCATCTTGAGATTTCAGAACACTGGAAACAAAGAGAAGATTCTATGAGTTTCCAGAAAGGAAAAAGCAAGTCACATACATAGAATCAGAATCAGCAGCAAACAGGCAATGTATCAATACCTTCTACATTCTGCAGGAAAATAGATTCCATGCTAGAATTATATATCCATCCAAATTATAAATCAAGGAAGGATGAAAGTAGAATACTTTTTGAGACTGCAAGGTCTCAAAAAATTACCTTGCATGTACCCTTTCATAGGAAGCTTCTGGTAGATGAGCTTCAGCAAAACAAAGCAGAGATCAAAAAAGATGAAAATGTGAGGTACAGGAAACAGGAGTGCCAACAGAGGAGAGATGTGAAAGGGGTTTCTGGACCATGATGAGGAAGCTCCCAGGATGGCAGTGGTACAGACCAGGCAAACCAGCCCAGATCTGAGCAGGTCAGAAGGCTCCACAAGGCTCTTTCGGTATGTTTGTTGTTGTTGTTTTGTTTTTTGGTGGCATTGGGGATTGAACTCAGGGCCTCCCTAGATCTACTACTTGAACCATGCCTCCAGTCCTTGTTTTTTCTTTAATTTTTCAGTACTGAGGGTTGAACTCAGGGCCTCACGCATGCTAGGCAGGTGCTCTACCACTCGAACCATGCTGCCAGCCTTTTTTGCATTGGTTATTTTTGAGAAAGGGTCTTGCTTTATGCCTGGACCATGATCCTCCTATTTGTGCTTCCCTTTGTACCTGGGATCACATTCGTGCACCATGATACCCTGCCATTGGTTGAAATGGGGTCTCAAGAACTTTTTGCCTGGGCTGGCCTCAAACTGTGATCTTCCCGATCTCTACCTCCACACCTGACCCCTTTTGCTTTTTGTTTGTTTTTCAGATAGGGTCTTATGCTTTTGCCCAGGCCATGATTGTCATACCTCAACCTCCCAGATAGGGGGGACCACAGGTGTCCCAGCTAGTCTTTGAGGTAGGATTTTGCTGACTTGCGTGGGCTGGCCTCAAACTTGAGATCCTCCTATCTCTGTCTCCTCAGTAGCTGGGATTACAGGAGTGAAACACCATAACTGTCCTCAGGCACTTAAAATATCAAATGCTTCTGAACTTTTTGAAAGGAGGTTGAAATACTGATGAAGAGTTTGGGGGTTAGATTAGTTATAAATAGTATACATAGAAAATTATGCAAACAAGGGCTGGCGGTGTGGCTCAAGTGGTAGAGCTCCTGCATAGTAACAAAGTTGTGAAAAAAAAGAAAAAAAAGTCACAGTTTACTATTTGGTTTAGCTTTGATAATGAATATTTAGCCAAAATTTTTCAAATACTGATGTAATAAACATTAGGATTTAACTCTTGGAAGAATGGAGACTGGGGAGAGATGGATACATGTTGGTGGTGGGGTCCTAGTTAGGAAAGAGACTTAAAAATTCTCATCTTCTTTGTTAGGAAGATAATAGATAGTGGTCAAAATGAAAAAATCAGAAAGTAGCAATGTAAACATGTAATTTAAGTATATGGAAATAAGAACCAAAAGCTGGATGTGGTAATCCTAGTCCTCAGGAGGCTGAGGAAGGAGGATTGTGAGTTTAAGGCTAGTCTGGGCTACATGGCAAGACCATGTCTCAAAAAAAAAAAAAAAGCCAGTACTAAGTAAGTATTCAAATATGCTTATCACTGAGGGGTAGGTATGGGTGTCAGCAGCTGCAGTTTTTCTTAACAAAATTAGTAAACTATTTTATAAACTATTATAAAGTTGCCTGTATAACTTTGCTAAAACATTAAATGTTAAAATAATAAACCGGCTGGCAGAATAGTTCAAGGGGTAGAGCACCTGCCTTGTAAGCCTAGAACCCTTGAGCCCTGGATTCAAACCCCAGTATCACCACAAAAAAATTAATTGAAAAAATAAACAAACTGTCTGGGCACCAGTGGCCCATGCCTATAATCCTAGCTACTCAGGAGGCAGAGGTTAGGAGGATCAAGATTTGAAGCCAGCGGGGGCAAATGGTTCATGAGACCCTATCTTGAAAAAAACCCATCACAAAAAAGGGCTGATTGAGTGGCTCAAGGTGTCGACCCGGAGTTCAAACCCCAGTACCACAATAAATAAATAAACTAGGGCTAGAGGTATGGCTCAAGCTGTAGAGTGCCTGCTTTGCAAGTACAAAGCCCTGAGTTCAAATCCCAGTCCTATCAAAAATAAATAATTAAACTGAGAGCCACACATGGTAGAGTATGTCTATATTACCAGCATTTGGGAGACTGAGGCAAGAGGATCACTTGAGATCAGGATTTCAAGACCAGGCTGGACAGCACAGCAAGAGTATGTCTCAAAAAAATCTGGGTTTGGTGGCCTACACCTGTAATCCCAGAATTTGGGTTGTGAAGACAAGAGGATCACAAATTTGAGGACAGGGCTGGTGATGTGCCTCAAGTGGTAGAGCCTACTTAGCAAGTATGAGGACCTGAGTTCAACCCCAGTACCCCAAAAAATAAAAAAAAAAGTTTCAGGTTGGCTTGGACTACCTAATGAGATCAAGGCTAGCCTGAGCAAAACCCCGTCTCAAAAAACCAAGGGTTGAAAGTATGGTAGACTGCTTTGCCTAGCATGTGAAAGCCCTGGGTTTGATTCCTAATGTCACCATTTAAAAAAAATTACTAAAAAAATCAAACTAGGGTGCTGGGGGGTGTAGCTCAGTGGTAGAGTTCAGGTTTAGTGTGAATGAGGCCCTGGGTTCAATTTCCTGCTCCAAAGAAAAAAAAACCAAACTGGCATAGGATTTAAGAGCATGAACTTTGAAAACGTAGATCAAGGTTTGTGTTTTTCTTGCCACTTATTAATGGTATGACCGTGAGCTGTTTATTTAACTGCTGTACATCTGTTTACTCATCTGAAACATGAGGACAGTACTTGTCACAGATTTGTTGTAAGAATTAAATGATGTAGTATTTTAAAATTTATACAGCCATAGTACATATGTTATTTAGGGGTTGGGTTGCTTTTTGAGTTTAGAGCAAAAAATTAAAATCACAGGAATGGAGATTAAGCTGACCAGGCTTTCCCATTTGCATAAAGTAGGTGGAATGATTTCTGATTCCAGGGTAATCACAGAAAGAACTCTCAGTGTTTGGGCCATGCTGAGAAATGACCCAGCTTGGAGCATGAGTTTCCCATATTGGAAGAATTTTAAGAAGCTTACTTGACAATTTCATCTTTATTGAGATGAGACAAGTGAAAATATGCTGTAAATGGAAAGAAAAACTTGAAGTAAAGATGAAAAAAACCTTTTAGATTAGAATAGACTAATGAGAGATATTATAAACTTTCTATTTTAATCAGACTTTTTTTTTTCCCTAAGGAGGCAATAAACATAGGGTGACCTTGCAGTCAGGATCCTCTTGCTTTAACCTCAGTGCTGGGATTACAGGTGTTCGCCACCATACCCAGTTAAAAAAAATGTAGTCTTTCCTGGAGCAGGAGTTAGATATAATACTTTCTAAGGAGTTTATTCAGGTTTTATGGGAACAAAAGGAACAAAACAGAAAGAATAGGCAGTCCTATTTAAAAAACAATGCTCTAGCTGGTACCAGTGGCTCATACCTGTAATTCTAGTAACTTGGGAGGCAGAGACCAGGAGCATCTCAGTTCAAAGCCACCCCTGGCAAATAGTTCTTTGAGGCCCCACCTCCAAAATAACCAGAGCAAAATGAACTAGAGGTGCAGCTCAAGCAGTAGAGGGCTTGCTTTGCAAGTGCAAAGCCCTAAATTCAAACCCTAGTCCCACTAAAAAATAAAAATAAATGCTCTAAGTATTTGAGAAGCTAGATCACTGTGTTTTTTGTTTGTTTTTTGTCTCTCAGTTGGGAGTTGTTACATAGCAAGAATGCCACTAACTATCCCACCCTATACAGAAACTCCAGAATCCAACAACAGTGTGTATACCTCCTTCATGAAGTCTCATCGCTGCTATGACTTGATTCCGACAAGTTCCAAATTGGTTGTATTTGATACTTCCCTGCAAGTAGGTGGAATCCTCTTTTCCCCTCCCCCTTCCATGGAGCCTCTGGTTCAATACCTCTCATACTATCTAATCCCAACAGTAATAGACCCAGCTTCCTATGTGGTTAGTCTTCATTTTTCCCCATCTACAACAACTCTTCTTTCTTACAGTCCTGCTCCCTGTGGGTTTTCCTTTATGATTATTATTTTGTTGGCTACAGGTGAAGAAAGCTTTCTTTGCTTTGGTGACTAATGGTGTACGTGCTGCCCCTTTGTGGGATAGTAAGAAGCAAAGTTTTGTGGGTGAGCACACATTTCTGAAACACAGTATTAGCTTGTTGGGCTGGGCAGGGAGAGAAGCTTTGGGTAATGCTGAGGGCTCTTGTCTTGACCTCTAGGCATGCTGACCATCACCGATTTCATCAATATCCTGCACCGCTACTATAAGTCTGCCTTGGTAAGGAACCTTAGCCCAGACCAAAGCCACTTTCCCTGCCTTGGTCCCTGCCTTTTGTCCCTTGCTCCCATTTATTTTCCTCCAAACAAGCCACAGGGGTTAATGAAGCAAGGATATCAAGACTCAAATTCTGTTGCTTCTACTTCCAGGTACAGATCTATGAGCTAGAAGAACACAAGATAGAAACTTGGCGAGGTACATAGAGAATTGGGGGTTATAAAAAGATGAAGGCATAGAGGGTTTCTTGGGAAACACTTTTGTATTTTGTGAACTGCCCCTTTTTCCTTCAGAGGTGTACCTGCAGGACTCCTTTAAGCCACTCGTCTGCATTTCTCCTAATGCCAGGTGAGTTCCAGCCGTTCATTTATCCGAAAAGGGAATAGCCTTGCCTTCAGCTTAGCCAAAGCCCTGAGCACCAAAAAATGCAGGGAAAGGGGCAAAAGAGAGAAAAGATACTCCTTCCCAACATATACTCATTCACTTACTCTTTAAGTCTGGTTTGAACACTTTCCCCTCCCCTGTGTTTGCTCTAGGGCTGGGGGCATGGCTCATGTGGTAGAGCACCTGCCTAGCAATCTCAACATTCTGAGTTCAAATCCCAGTACCACAAAAAAAGTCTGCATATGTTCACTCTAATGAACTATGTGACTCAGCTTTAGTACTATGGAACTTACCATTATCCTCCACTTTCTCACAGCTTGTTTGATGCTGTCTCTTCATTAATTCAAAACAAGATCCACAGGCTGCCAGTTATTGACCCAGAATCAGGCAACACCTTGTACATCCTTACTCACAAGCGCATTCTCAAGTTCCTCAAATTGTTTGTAAGTGCTCCTTAACCCAATTCTTAATTCTTATGTTCTGGGCTGGAAGGGTATCCACCAGTGATTTGGGAACCCTAAAAGCCAAGCTGATGGTTCTTTCCCCAGATCACTGAGTTCCCCAAGCCAGAGTTCATGTCTAAGTCTTTGGAAGAGCTACAGATTGGCACCTATGCCAATATTGCTATGGTCCGCACCACCACCCCCGTCTATGTGGCTCTGGGCATCTTTGTACAGCATCGAGTCTCAGCCCTGCCAGTGGTGGATGAGAAAGGTGAGAAGTCAGGAAAGGACAGGGAGGGTTGTAGGGATCAGGTGGCTCTGGGAAAATCTACTTTCCTCTCAGGTAGCCTGGAGGGGGTTCTGTGGGTAGGGAGCCTTGGATACCATATGTTCCTTGCTGAGCTGCCTCTGTCCCCCTAGGGCGTGTGGTGGACATCTACTCCAAGTTTGATGTTATCGTGAGTGATTGTGGAGGGGGTGGGAGGTAGGGAACGGGAGGGTTATTGAATGTGGAGAGGGAGAAGGAGGGAGTCTTTTCTGTGATCTACGGGTCTTGGGTGCCTCTATGCTTTCAAATCCCATTTGAAAAGGCATTAATGCTGGGCGCTGGTGGCTCACACCTGTAATCCTAACTATTCAGGAGGTAGAGATCAGGAGGATCAAAGCCAGCCTGGGCAAATAGTTCGAGAGACTCTATCTCGAAAAAACCCATCACAAAAAAGGGCTGGTGGAGTGACTCAAGGTGTAGGCCCTCAGTTCAAACCCCAGTACAGCAAAAAAAAAAAAAAAAAAAAAAAAGACTTAAATGAGCTGGGTGTGGTTAATGGGCATAGTTGATAATTTGACAGTTGCCCTCAATCCTTCTGGTGAGGTTAGGTGGGTCCAGGGTTTGGGAGCTGGCTCCTTTACTTCTTTGCAAGTCCTTTTTCTCTCTCCCCAGAATCTGGCAGCAGAAAAGACTTACAACAACCTAGACGTGTCTGTGACCAAAGCCCTACAACATCGATCACACTACTTTGAGGGTGTTCTCAAATGCTACTTGCATGAGACTTTGGAGACCATCATCAACAGGCTGGTGGAAGCAGAGGTAGGGAGGCTAGCCACCCTACAGGACCTGGGGAGAGTGGCCTTGAGAGTGGGGTTTGGCAAGGAGGGTAGGGGCTGAGGGGCTCACTCTGAGGCTGGCACTAAACATTCCTTCTTACTGCTCTATGCCAGGTTCATCGTCTGGTAGTGGTGGATGAGAATGATGTGGTCAAGGGAATAGTATCACTGTCTGACATCCTGCAGGCCCTGGTTCTCACAGGTGGAGAGAAGAAGCCCTGAGCTGGGGAAGGGGTTATGCAGCCTCAGGGGAGATACCCCCACTCGCTGTCTGCCCAAAGCGCTGGGAATCATATGAAACCTTGGGAAAAAGGACTCTGTGCCCTGCCCAGGACCCCCACCTGCTATCTGGGAGCCAGGGGAGACACAGAGGGAAGGAGGGGAATGGGTTCTTAGTTGCCCTTACCCTCATGCACACAATTGAGGAAAACTTTCAGCTTAGCCAATCCTGGCTCCTGTCCCCTTAGACATAGCCCCACCACTGCCCTAGGGTGAACCATGGGCTTTGTGCTCCTCAGGCAAATTCTGATCTCTAAGAGATCCCCAGACCTCACCTGGCCTTTGCTTCTATCTCTGCCCTGACTCCACTCTCAAGTAATAGCAAAACAAAAATCTTCATAAAGATGTTTTTATTCATCCTGTTTTATGCTGTATGGAGGATACTGAGTCCATTTATTGGCATTCTTCCCATGATCTGAGTGGGGAGGATTGTGGGGAGGAGGGGCTTTAATGCATATGAAGGAAGATGATTAGGTGGAGGAGGAGGGCAGAAGGGTTAGCCAATGTTACTGCTTTTCATGACAAATTAATTAAATGATGAGATTCTCCTCATAGTATTATAGTGTTTGATTTTTGCAGTCAATAAGATACTTTCCTACTTCATGTGGCTTTTTAACTCATCATCAGTAGCAACAGTACTAATAACACACACATACATGTTACCAGATATCATTCTCAGTGCTTTTTCTTCCTTCTTTTTCTTCCTTCCTCCCTTCCTTCCTTCCTTTTCTTTTTCTTTCTCTCTCTCTCTCTTTTTTCCTTACCTCCCTCCTTTCCTTTCTTCATGGAATTGGGGTCTGAACTCAGGGCCTCATGCTTGCTAGGCAGGTGCTGTACCACTGAGCCACTCTACCATCCCTTCTTATATATATGTGTTGTGTGGAGTATTTTTTGGTATGGAGTTTGAACTCAGGGTCTATACCTTGAGCCTGTGTGGAGTATTTTTGAGATAGGGTTTCACGAACTATTAGCCCAAGCTGCCTTCGAATGGTGATCTTCTTGATGTCTACCTCTTGAGTAGCTAGGATTACAGATTGAGTCACTGGTGCCCAGCTTAACATTTTGAAAAGCTGAGACCCTATCTTGAAAAAGATCCATAACAAAATAGGGTTGGTAGAGTGGCTCAAGGTGTAGGCCCTGAGTTCAAGCCCCAGTATGAGGAAAAAACAAAAAAGCTGAGGCTCATTAACTAAGTAACTGGCTTATGAAAAAGTAAAGCTAGAATTTGAACCCAAATGATCTGACTCTAGGTTTCATGCTCTTTTATCACTATACTAGTTTTATTATCACTCTAATTCGCCTTTTACAACTGTTCCGCATCCTATTTTCTGTAGTTCCCCTTATTATTTCACTTTCTTCTCTGCCTGACCATAGCTGGGGTCCATGGGAAGTGCTATAAAGTGTTAGGTCTCCAGTGAGTAGACAGATTAAGTGTCTTCTTTGGGCAGAGAAACCTGCTACCATCATCAGCTTTTCTGGTTTTCTTTTTTGGTTTAGTTTGGTTTGGTTTTTGGCGGTACGGCAGTTTGAACTCAGTGCTTCACGCTTGCTAGGCAGGCACTCTACCACTTGCGCCACTCCACCAGCCCTCATCAGCTTTTCTGAAGAAAGGGTAGACAGTGATGAATTTTGTTGGGCTGGCACTGTGTTTGAACCTCTAAATCCCTTGCACCTTTTTTCCAATGTAAGAATGAGCGAGATAGAGAGTGGGGAGTGGGGCAACAGCAGGACTATATCACCCCAGCAGACCTGTCTGTTCCTTATTCTGAAACCACATGGACTAGAGTAATAGCACAAAACTCCACAAGGACTGCTTGACCATGGGGAATGAACCAAATTCAAACTCCTGAGTATCATTTCATCTCAATTTCCCATCCAAATTGTGATCTCAGAGTACTTCCTTGGCCCTACCTCCATGATGTCTTTTTTTTTTTTTTTTGAGACTAACTCCATGTAACCCAAGCTAGCCTTGAATTCACAATCTTCCTTAACCCCCGCCAAGTACTGGGGTTACAGGCATGTGCCACCATGCCTCACTTTGCCATATTCTATTAGTTTTTCCAAACCAAGCTTCCAGGCCGGGCACCTGTAATCCTAGCACTCAGAACCTTGAGGCAGGAGGATCACAAATTTTGAGGACGGCCTGAGCCCTTGTCACAAAAACAGAGAAAAGCATCAAGGCACTTGTCAGAGCTCAGCTGTCAGTACTGCATCATGGCTGTGCCCTGCTTCTTCATTCACCTCTTTACAGCTCTCACAGCACATTCCTAAACTTGGGGGAGGGAGGCTTGCAAATTATTAGACTATGAGTGTGTGTGGGTGCATGGTGGAAAGGACAGATGTCTCCTTATGTCACATTCCCTCATCAAGGAGGATTTGTCTAGGGAGGAGGCAAGGGCTTTAAAAAGCTGTGGGACTCTGGTGAGACCCAGGATGAGAGGAAGCACCTGCAAACAGAGTCATCCCTGCAGCTGGTAGGTGCATGGATTCTGGGGGAGGGGGGGTGCAAAGTGAAGGATGCTTGGGTTCTCTCTTAAGGTCCATGTTAGAAAGCAAGAGCCCTGGGTTTTGTTTTGCTGTTTCTCAGTCATCCTGTCTGACCTCACAACAACATAAAAGAAAGGGCCTGCACCCAAAATGCTCTATGTACTTTTGTGGAAAACAAATTGGGATCTCTTGCTTCTCCCATTTCTCCCTAAAACTCAACCCATCAGTGTCAGAGTCTGAGGATGGAGCTGAGGGAAAGAAAGGGAATAAAATTTGGGAGTCTCACAAGCTTCTGCTCTTGCCTATTCTTCTCAGAGGCAAACTGTACCTTCTTCCTGAGGAACCATTGCCACACACCTCTCTTTTCCCTCTCCTTGCACCTCTCCCCTCCACTGGAGCTGCTGCTATGGTTGCCAGGCATGGTTGCTAAGTCTCTGCATGGAAGGGATGGCGTGGGCTGTGCTGCCACTAACATTACCATGGTGAATCAGGGGACACCTGGTACAAGCTTAGGGGGAGGGAATCATGTGGATGTAAGCAACAACCCCCAGGACAGAATGAGTCCAAAAGGTGAGCTCTGCTTCAGACAGGGGCTGAGTAACTAGCAGTGTGGTGGTGAGGAGGGGGAGCCCTATGCTGGGAAAGAAAGGCCACTTTTATCATTTTAGTTGCTAGGGGATTTGTTTTGTCAAGGGAGCACACATTCCTTCTCCATCCCCCTCCGTGTAAGGGTGCAAGTGCATAAGCATTCTATCATGTCCTCTATAAGGCTGAGCAGAGCTGTATAGGCACAGAATAGTTTAATCCCCAAATCCTGGCTTTTGGATTGGGGAAGACAGCCTGCTGCACGTTGGGGGAAGGTGGCGTTCAATGGCTACCCAAGGACAAATATCTAGAATGGGAGTGGTGGAGTAGCTTTGGTGGCCAAACAGCAGCCCTGAGTGGCAGCACTGGAAAGGTGAGGAGTTAAGGGCATAGGGGCCACCTTTTTTGAGCTTGGGGGAGCAGGTCTTCCACCAGAATGGCACAAAACCTTCCTGAAAGCCACCGCCTCCTCTCTCCACTGCTTGGGAAGTGGTTACTCATCTCATCTCTGCACCCAAATGCCACTGCCGCTAAAAATAGCCCCCCTCAGCCAGCCCCTCCGGCACCCCAACCCCAGGGAAGCCAGCAAAGAGTGTCAGTCAAAGACCTTGAGTTCTATTCTCACCACTCCTTGTGAGGGAAACAAGTCCCAGGCAGGAAAGGACCCTGGCGGTCAGGCAACCTGACAAGCAGGAGAGCAAAGGATTAAAACGGCAGGAAGGTTGAAGAAATGGGGGCAGGAGAGGGAGGCACAGTCAGCTTGGCAAGAATCAGAAGTCCATCCCCCGCCCACTCGTGCGTGCGGGTCGGATCCCGCTTGGGGGACAAGAGCAGTGGGAAGGGGCGTCCAATCCCGAGCCCCAGGGGGCGGCCGTGCACATGGGGGAGGTAGCAGCGCAGAGCAGTCCGCGCCGTGTCACATGCGCGCGCACACACACAGACAGGCACACACGTGTGCCCGGGTATATATAGTTCCCAGTCCCTGGGTCCGCCGCTCTGCAGTGGGCGCCAGCTCCCTGGGCTGGGAGGGGGCTCACGGGGCGGGTGGGAGGGTGGGGGGCCGGGGTGGGGTGGGGCAGGATGCTGGATGGTCCGCTATTCTCCGAGGGGCCCAACAGCCCCCGGGAGCTCCAGGATGAGGAGTCTGGCAGCTGCCTCTGGGTGCAGAAGTCCAAGCTGTTGGTGATCGAAGTGAAGACTATTTCCTGTCATTATAGTCGCCGCGCCGCTTCTCGACAGCCCATGGACTTCCAGGCCAGCCACTGGGCCCGTGGGCCCCAGAGCCACACGTGAGTGAAGGAGGGGTGAGGGGAAGCAAGTGGTGGGGCGGGGAGTGGGGTCTGGACCTCCCCGCAGGCACCAGCGAACACTGCTAGTCCCCCTTCTCTTTCCCGCGCCTCCCCCCCCTCGAGGGCTGGGACCTGACTCATTCAGCGTTGTTTGGGGGGACCGGAGTAGGCGTGAGAAAGGGCAGGAGGTGAGATGGGACAGACACTGTTAAAGTGTGCATGGAGAGATGGCGAGGAGTCCCACTTCGACTTCAGCCCTAACATGTACGCACGTGCACACGCGCACACACTCACACATACCTCTTCACATGGCTGCCCTAAGTGGTCTCCAGTGCTCCCAGCTACCGGGACCTCGGCTCCCTTCCCCCACAAACTGCTCACCTGGGTTCCTGCTCATTGTCCCAGGTGTAGGCTGCGCCCGGGATCCCCTGAGCCGCCGCCCCGCCGACCCTGGGCCTCCAGGGTGCTGCAAGAGGCGACCAACTGGCGGGCGGGGACCCCGGCCGAGGTCCGAGCCCGGGAGCAAGAAAAAAGGAAAGCGGCGTCGCAGGAGCGGGAGGCCAAGGAGACCGAGAGAAAGAGGCGCAAGGCTGGTGGGGCCCGACGGAGCCCGTTGGGTCAGCCCCGCCCGGAGCCCCGGAATGCCCCTCGGGCGGCCCAGCCTGCCGGGCTCTCGGCGGTTCCCTCTCGGTCCGAGCGTCTTGGGCAGGTGGGGAGAGCGCCCTGTCCATCCGCGCAACCGCAGAGCGACCCAGGGGCCGCGTGGGCGGGGCCCCGGGGAGGTAGGCGGCCAGCGCCCCCGAGCTACGAGGCTCACCTGCTGCTGAGAGGCGCTGCAGGCATGGCCGCGCGACGCCGCTGGGACCGGCCGCCACCCTATGTGGCTCCACCGTCTTACGAAGGCCCCCACAGGACCTTGGGAACGAAGCGAGGCCCTGAGCAATCTCAGGCGCCCGCCTCATCAACCCCAGCCCTGATCCCCGCTAGGACAGAGGGAGGGCGCGCAAAGAAGAGGCTGGATCCTCGAATCTATAGGGACGTCCTCGGGGCTTGGGGTCTCCGGCAGGGGCGGGGTCTCTTAGGGGGAGCTCCGGGTTGTGGAGCGGCCAGAGCCAGGCCAGAGTCAGGCAAGGGGACGGTGGAGAAAAGCTTGGGCCTAGCTGCTGCTGGCCTGAACAGTGGTAGCGACGGCCATGCCCAAGCCAAAGCTACTGGTAGCCCACGCACGGAGACAGCACCTGCTGGGTCAGTAAGAGCGACCCATAGCCCCCCGCGTCCCACTCCCAGGTCCAGGCACCACCTCAAGGGCTCGAGGGAAGAGAAAGAAGGAAGAGAACTGATCTGGCTTCCCAAAGGCTGGATTCCCTCCCCTAAAAAACAGCTGCCCAGGCAGAGTCAGACCCTCCCCAGACCCTGGGCTCCAGGAGGCACGGGATGGAAAGAGTACTTGGGTCATAGAGAGGGGGCAGGAGCCGAGACCCTGGAGAGTTGGAAGGCGACCCGCCGCGCGCACACCCTGCCCCGCAGTTCCCGGGGCCGCGCTGGTGGAGAAGGCGTCTTTGTCATTGACGCCACGTGCGTGGTAATAAGGTCCCAGTATGTTCCGACCCCTCGAACCCAGCAGGTGCAGTTTTTGCCTTCTGGGGAACCGTGCATTGGGGGGGATGTCTCCAGGCGACCCAAACCCTGCAAAGAGGAGGGTGAGAGGGCCGCGGTCTTTTCCTCTGCTTGCCAAAAGCTACTGTTGAGCAGTCGAATCTTACACCAGCAGGGCGCGGGGCACGAATGCAAAGCTCAGGGCGGGAAGCCGGAGGAGGAGTCCTCACTGGAGGAGCGGGCCTCCCGCATCTTGGGGCTCCCTATGGGCGAAGTAAACCTGCGAGATGGCCCCTCTCAGCCAGGTAGCCTAGAACACCTAGCCATAGGCCCAGCGGCTCCGGTGTGCGCGGGCAGCACCAAGGGCTCAGAAGGGGCGGCTGTCCCGCGGCGTCCTGGCGGGGGCTGGGCGCGAACCCCAGGTCCCTACGCCGGAGCCCTGCGGGAAGCCGTGTCCCGCATCCGTCGCCATACTGCCCCAGACTCGGACTCAGACGAAGCCGAGGAGTTCAGCGTCCATAGCGGCTCTTCTGATGGAAGTGACATAGAAATCCTGGGCGCCTCCTGGAGGAATGAGAAGACCCTGTCTATGGCTGGGAACCCGGGGTCCCCGGAAGGCGGGAAGCCAGCAGAACTGAGTAACAATATCCGGGAGATTCTAGATGTCGTCAGCCAAACCGAGGAAGCCCTCTTTAGCATGAGGGACACCAAGGGGACCCCACAGGGAAATAGGAAGAGACAGTGAGAGATGCCCCTTTTTGTTTTTGTGTCTCCCACTCATCTATCTTTGGGCCCATTTGTTCCCTTTCTTCCCCACAGACTTCCTTTGCTTCTCTTCTTTCCCTACCCAGACCCATTCCCAACTTGAAATAGAAAGGAAAGGCAGCATGTGCCCATTCATGGCTTTGTTTCAGGAGAGGTGAGGTTGAAGGTAGCTTTAATGTCTGCTAGACTCAGGACATACACTGATGTCTTCCTCAGAGGGTTGATGTACTAGGTGTGGAGTTGAGCAGAGAGGCTTAGCCAGGATCAGGCAGAAAGGCAGAGATGGTGGCAGTCATAGGAAGGCAACACCAAGGCAAGGTCTTTGGCAGGAGGGAAAAAGTAACAGTGTACCTTTGCACCTGGTGACAGAGTGACTAGATAACAGAGAAGTTCTTAGAGGAGGAATGGGTCCAAAAGCAACCAGCGAGAAGGCAGAGTACTCACTTAATGCTGCAAGTCTTGAGTTTCAATTCCAACTCTGCCACTGACTTGCTGGTTGACTTCAGCTGATCATCACTTCCCTTCTCCAGGGCTCCTGTTATGTAAAATGAAAGAGTTCTATTGTCCATCCTTCCATCCCTGGAATTTGGGGATCTTTGAGGAGGCCTCTATCTCATTTTCCCCTCAACAAGTCAAGAGAGTTGAGAATAAGTGAACAGAATCTTGAGGGTTCCCAGTTAGTCTTCTTGTCATCTGCACTCATTTTTGATTCAGGAGACTGTCCAAGGTTTGCAGAAGATCTGAGTGGCAAAAGGGCTCCTATCCTAGCCTCCCAAGTTTAGGTGAGTGCTCTCCAAGGTAGGGCAGGATTGTGGCTCTGTCACTGACCCTGGCCTAGTGGTCCAAGCTAGGGAGGAAAGGGAGCCAATGAATCAGCTTGGGACCGCTTTAGTCCTTTCCCTTTTCCTCTATCCCTGTGTCCCTTAGTGATCCTCTAAAGCGTTGCCATCATTTTCCCATGCGAGAGGTATGGTCCACCTGACAGGACCTGGAAATCTGTATCTCCTCTTCCAGAAAACAGCCAGGCAAGACTAGTCCCAAGAAGCCTGTAGGGACCCTCCTGGATCTTCCTAGAACCGTTTAGAAGGAGTTGCTAAATGGGAAGATCTTGAGTTCAGAACTGTTAAATGGTCTCCTTCGATGCTAGGGGGAGCACCTGCCTGAGAATGGAGCCATAGGGGTTAAGAAAAACAAAAACAGAAAACAAGAAGCCAGGTGTGGCGTGTGATGCTCGCTATAACCACTAGGGGGCGCGCGCAGGTCGCGGATTTCCCCGGTTGCTGGTCCCCGAGTCCCCCCAGTGTTTTCACACTGCCAATTGATCCGATTCCTACTTGGGTGTTACCGCGCGCCTGTCCCACTCCTTGCCGCCTCCAGCCACGCGCGCACGGGGCCGGGAGCAGGCCTCCGGCCTCCCAGACCTCTGGAGCGCGCCAAGCCCCTCTTTGTCCTCATCCATGCCAACCGGCTTGGGACTCAGATACTGAAGTCTTTTTTTCTCTCTCTCTCTCCGGTCCTGGACACCTCTTCTGTCTCTGCCATTTACTAGCCATGTGAACTTGGCCAAATCACTTCACCTCCCTGAGCCTCAGTTTCCTCATCTGTCAAATGGGGGTTTTATAAACACCTACCTCGCAGGGTTGTTGTGAGGACTTAATGCGGTAATGTATGTAAAGCGCCTTGCACAGTGCCTGGCACACAGCAGGCGCTCAATAAATCTAAGCTTCCCTTTATCCGACTCTGGCATCTTGTTTTCCCTGACCTTTTTACCGCAGTGTCCCTCCCCCAGGGCTCCTCCCTCTGCTCCTTCCCGTTTGGTGCGAGGAGGAGGAGGAGGAGGAGGAGGAGATCTTCTTTCCTCGGTGGAAACTCCTGGCCCACCCCTGTCTCCCTCGGCCGGCCGGGACTCTCCCTTCCTTGCCCCCCGCCCCACCCCTGCCGGCTCTTCTCGCTGCGCGGCGCACTCCCGCCATTCCGGGCAAGGGCTGAGTCAGCCCGGGTAAATTTAGCCGCCCCACTGGCTCGGCAGGCGCGGGGGCTTTGCCCAGACTCAGTCGCCGGGTCCTGGCCCGGCCCCCGGCCCTGCCTCTGTCCCCACTCCCACCAAGACCCGCCAGCCCCACTCCCGCTCAGCGTTCAGGTCCCCAAACCGCTTGCGGTTTTAGTCTCCAATTATCTCGACGTCACTCCTCGCCTGCACCCAAGACAGACACTGGGTTGCAGGGAGAGGCAGGGCTGCCAGGAGGCCACCGGGCAAACCCTGAGCCAGAGGCTGGGCCTTGGTCCAGTGGCCCAGGGTCTCTTTGAGAGAGCAGTGGTCCTAGCTCCCCAGGAAGGTTCACCCCAACGCCTTTCTGGAGCCCACACTGCCAGAGGCGGGAAAGGAAGACAGGTCACTTTGGGCGGAGATCAAAGGTTCAGAGGTCTGTCTCCGTCCACTACAATTCTAACTGCGGCCAATTCTAATGGCTGGCCATTTACTGAGCACCTACTAGGAACAAGTCCCTGGAGCAGGGCTCCAGGACAGGAGATGAGCAAGGCCTTTCAGACAGTGATGTAAAGATGAAAATGCAAATGATAATACTGACCTTTACTTACTTTTTAACATAGGGTCTCATTATGCAGCCCAGGCTGGCCTCGAACTCAAGATCCTTCTGTCTGTGCCTCCCAATTCCTGGGATTACACGTGTGCACACCTATGCCCTGCCAAATGGTAATACTCAGCAGTGCATGTTAAGTACTGTAAGAAATCAAACAAGGGAGATGGTAATTCTGTGAGACTCAGGAAGGCTCCATGGAAGAGGTGACAAATGAGATAAAATTTGGTGAAAGAGCATTTCAAATAGAGGGAACAAGCTGGGTGCACTGATGTACACCTTAGTCCCAGCTACTTGGGAGGTTGAGGTGGGAGCATCACTTGAGCCAGGAGTTCACCAGCAGTCTGGCCATATCCTGTGTCAAAAAACAAAACAAAACAGAATAAAAAATTGAATAGAAGGGACAAAGTACAGAAAACACAGGCATGGACGCAGGGAATGAGGGTGTTGAGAAACTTACCAAATGTCTGGCTTGCTTGCAGTTGAGAAGACCTCAGGGGAAGTTATGGGAGGAGTGACAGCAGAGGCCAGGTGGGGTGAGCTGGAGCATTGGACCCTGGGTTTGGGAAGAGGATAGGCCTTCTGGAAGGAAACTGGAGACAGCCAGGGCAGTGGTGAGAGCAGCTTCCTGGGTTTTGCCACAATCCAGGGGCTTCAGGGCTGGGGGTAGATGCCACTAAGCTGAGCTGACTGAGCCCTTTAGAATGAATCCACAGGAGTCCCATTTCTAAGAGTTCATCCAACTGCCACCATTGCCACAGAACTGAGGTAGGGTCAGAAGAACGTGGACTCTGAGGACTGGCAGCCTGTTTTTTTCTTTTCCATTGTGTTTTTTGTTGTTGTTGTTGTACTGAGGATTGAACTCAGGACCTCATGCTTGTTAGGTAAGCTCTCTACCACTTCAGTCATTTAGCCAGCCCTTTTTTGTGTTGCATATTGTCAAGATAGGGTCTTGAGAACTATTTGCCTAGGCTGGCCTCAAACCATGATCCTTCTGATCTCTGCCTCCTGTGTTTAAATCTTGCCTCTACTTTGTTCTGACCGTGTTACCTCGGGCAAGTTATTCAACTCTGTGTTGCAGTGTCCTCAGTTATTGTGAGGTTTGATGGTGCACACCTGTAATCCCAGCACTCAGAAAGGTGAGGAAGAAAGCCTGGCTGCATAATGAGTTGGAGACCCTGTCTCAATAAAATTAAAAAAGCAGGTTGTTAAAAGTGCTTTTCTCCCTGGGTGTCGGTGGCTTGCCTATAATCCTAGCTACTTAGGAGGCTGACACAGGGAAGATCTCAGTTTGAGGCCAGATGACAAATAGTTCATAAGCCCTCATCTTCAAAATAATCAGAGCAAAATGAAGTGGAGGTGTGGCTTAGGTGGTAGAGCACCTGCTTTGCAAGCATAAGCCCTGAGTTCAAACCCCAGTTCCATAAAAAAGAAAAAAAATACTTTTCTCATAGGGTTGTTAGGAGGATGAAATGATTCAATATGTAAAGTACTTAGAACAATGTCTGGTATACAGTAAGTGATATATAAGTGTAGGCTCTGATAATCATTTCTCTTTAGAGCTATTTTATTAGTGATGGTGTATAGAAACAAGAGGACGAGGAAGAGAGAAGTAGAACTAGGAGAGTAGGAGAAACAGCAGTACAGCCCCACCAAAAGAAGCTGGGAGCCGGCGCCGGTGGCTCACATCTGTAATCCTAGCTACTCAGGAGGCAGAGATCAGGAGGATCTGAGTTTGAAGCCAGCCCGGGCAAATAGTTTGTGAGATCTATTGTGAAAATGCCTAACACAAAAATAAAAGGGCTGGTGGAGTGACTCAAAGAGTAGGCCCTGATTTCCTAGCATGCACAAGGCCCTGACTTTGATCCCCATCACCACAAAAAGAAAAAGGAGCTCTGGGTTGGATGCAAACAGCCCCCTGAATGGGGCCATGGTTTCTGGGAGCACTTGGGTAGTTAGGTGTCAGAGCAAACCTCTATCAGTATTTCCTCCATCTTTCACTAATGATAAAGTCAGAAGCAACTGCTAAGGTTCTGGAGAAGGGGAGGAGCGCCCACAGGTCTGGGGCCAGCTTCTGGTGAGCCGTATCTCAGGCTGGCCCTGTAGGGTTCTGTGGGAGGTTAGAGGCTCCCTGCTGCGAAAATGACTTCTAAATCTGGTTGTGTCTGCCAGCCAGCAGCCTCCTGACAGAGGCCACAATCTCCCCCCTCCCAACCTTGGGACAACCTCACTGGTCAGCAGTTAGGACAGCAGATGCAGGAGAACATAGTCAGTTTGGGGTAGCAGACCTTAAGTTAATGCAGGACCTGTGACCCTCACAACAGCCAGGTTCTTTGCCCAGGGAAGCCCTTTTTGCTCCACATTTCCGCCCCAGTTAATGTGGCTTTACAGGAGCCAAGAACCCTCCCTTTCAGAATGAGGAGAGCCCTGGGATTCCTGAGATCAGCCACAAATGGGTAAAGAAAACCAAGAACCAGGCCATAACTCTGGGACTTCAGAGAGTGTTAGTGTCAGGAGTGTGAATGTGAATGCATGTGAAAAGGAGAGGACCAGGAGAGGCAGCTGAACATGAGAACATGGGAAATGTGCAAAGTGTGTCTTTGGAGAACAGTGTCAGTGTTCCCTCAGTTATTCATTTGTTCACTTGCCCAGTAAACATGTGTACCAGGAGCCAGATGTGGTAGTTCATGCCTATAATCCCAGCTGCTTGGGAGTCAGAAGCAGGAGGATCAGAGTTGAAGGCCAGCCCAGACAAAGTTAATGAGATGTTATCTCAAAAAAAATACAAATCAAAGGGATGAGGGTGTGACTCAAGTGGTAGAGCATTTATCTACCATGTATGAGGTCCTAGGTTCGATCCCCAGTACTGCATACATAAAAAAATGTATGCCAGGGACACAGAAGAGACTTGGACATGCTTTCTACCTTCAGAGAGTTCAAGCTTTAGGCCTCTCAGAGACAACTTGCCAAGGGTGTGTATGTCAGTGAAGGAAGGTTCAGTCTAGATGTTGGCTCTTCCTCTTGGTGCATGGCGTGGGCTCCCTTTCTTGAATTCCTTGGCACTACATAGCTTTTTGTGAGTCCTTTTGTGGGTCGCTGTTTTATCCATATACCCATCCACTTATCCATGAATCTATGCATCCCACTCACCCATCCATGCACCAATTCATCCATCTGACCACCCTTCTGTGTCTATCCATTCATCCATTCATATGAGGTGCCCAACTTACTGTTGGAAAGGATGTCAAAATGAAGAAAACACAGAGCCCCTGTCCTCAGGGAGCAGGAAGCCTAGAGATGTTGGGGTAGGCAAGTAATATGCACAGATAACCACCAATGGAACAGTTATCACATGCCCCACCAACAAGGCATTTCAGGAGCTCAAATGGGCAAGGCCAGTCTGCCAAGAGAAGTAAGAGTCTTCATGGAAGAAGAGGCCATTTGAGACAGGTTTCAACAGGGAGATAGGGAAGGGGTGTGTTCCACAGTGTGGCTTTCACAGGGAACAGAGGCTTGGGGCGGGGGTAGAGGTGCCAAGGGTGGGGTCCTAAAGAGATGTGTGGGAGCCAAATCATTAAGTGATTCTTGAAATCAAGGATAAAACATTTGTCTTTTAACTGGGTACAGTACTGTGTGCTTGTACTGTGGAGGCTGAGGCTGACTCCCTTGAGGTCAGGAGTTTGAGGCCAGCTGGGCAACATATTAAAACCCTGTCTCAACACGAACTAACTAACTAACTAACTAACTACTAGATAGCTAGATAGCTAACTAACTAACTAATAACAAACCAACAAAAACCTTTGAGCTTTAGTGAGAGGAATTGAGGGAGAGGTGAGGGATAGTTTTTGAGCCAGGAATGTCCTTAACACCAAAAATTGGTTTCCTTAACACCAATTTTTTTTTTCCTGACGCTTGATTATGGTCCCTGTTGATCTTATCTTGTAATAAGTCTATTTCTTGCTAGACCATGAGCTACTCAAGGGTCATGCCTTTGATTTAGCCCTGTATCCCCTATAAGCTTGGCACAGAGCAGAAAATGTGGGCATAAGGAAGGAAAAAATGATAAAACTATTATGCCACAGGAACACTGGCATGACGATGCATCATCAGATATGTAAGAGAAAAAG